TCATTAAAGTGAAATCACTTTTAGGATGATAACGGAAGCACCACAAGTTCGAACATGGTATGCTTCTCGGTCTCATCTTTGTCAACTGAGGTTTTTGCTGCATTTTCTGCCGATAGTAGACCATCTTCATGAAAATGATTTGTTGTTAATGACAGGCATCCATAAAAGGCCGAGTCTCCAATCGTTGTCATAGACGGAGGAATCAATCTCGATTTCCAACAAGCTTGTAGAAGACCCCCGTCCCCTGCACTTGTCTTTACTAGTCCTAGAACGGAACCAATAAAGTTGACGCGTGTCAGCCTTTTGGAGTTATACCAACAAGGTTTATTGGGAATCTCTTGAACGATTGCATCAATGTCGAATCCTGCCACGTCGCCTGGAATGGTTTCTTCTTCGTTGCCAATGAAAGTAATGATAAGAAACCATCGTAATAAATGTTAGTGGGTATTTCTAGTGTGCGTCGGGCAGGAATTTGAAGTTTGCAACAGCAAAATGTATTACTGTTGCTGACTACCTATATACATATCAATGACCTCCTCTCGATACAGTATGCAAACAAAAAAATAAATTTCAAATTGCCTGTAATAGATTTGTCCTACCATTTCCGGTATTTGGGGATGTATTTTTTCAATTTTCCGGTGTTTGGGGATATTGTTTCAATCACAAATCACAATATGAATCCACCCCCGAATTGGGAATTCGAAATCACTGTTCAATCAATCTGTTTGCGGTTCGTATCGGGTATTTTATACAATACTGTGCCTACAATATTTATTTAAAATATAAGATATTGTACATTATATTCTAGGCTGTCGCCGCTGAGTATATCGCAAACCCCATCATGTACCATACGCAGCAATAAGCTGGTAACGTCGAGGCGAAAAGCAATGGGAATCTTTTCCAGGCATACGAGTAGTAGGATCGAAAGGTGAACCAAGCCCAACCGATTCGAGCGGCACTTCCAGCGTCCACAAAGGTGGCATAGACAAACATGCTTATGAAAAATGGAATCAGTTGCTCCAATAAATTCCCGGCACATCGATCCGCACAACGAATGGCGAGATTGTCATGGTTGCCGTATTTCAAATCAGCGAGAGTGGGAGGACGCTTATCCGATTTCTTGGCTTTGGCTTCCTTCTTGAGGCGAAAGAACTCAGAAAAGGTAGTGTAACTTTGCAACCAGTAGTAGGCATACAATTGTGACAGGACGGCACCAGAGACAAACAGAAGTGGGGTGTAGTCGGTTGAAGACTGGGCGGGGCCTTGATATTGAGATGTTCCATGCTTAAAGCCGGTAAGGATCAATGCCGCAATGGCAGAGTAGCAGGAGACAATTCCCGAGAGGGGTAAGAGCTTGATGTTCTCCTTACTCATGCTTGTGTTCCGATTTGAGATTTTATGATGCAAGAAAAGTATTTTTTTGACATCATCAAAAGGAGCGATTGCGCAATATGATTGGGTCGTGATTGATTCGATTAATTTGACCAACCTCCAAGAACTTCCATAGCAAACTCGATTGAATGAATTGATGATCAATCTACCTACTGTACCGGTATGCTCTCTTTCCAAAGCTACAGAACAATAGCATCACAACCAAAAGGCCGACCCATACATCAGAAAATTACCCACAACTTTACCGCAGAGTGAGCGAGTCAGTCAGTCCTCATCAGGAGTCAGTCCTCCAATTCTTGCCCTTTCCTCCTCTACGGCGGCGGTACTAGACGAGGTAATGAACATGCGTTTTGCTACATGTATATATTATATATATATATACATACCTCCAGCTCCAAAATGAATGAGATGGATTAATATAATAAAAGGATCGTGCTGCCTGTGCAAGGCGTTTTATAAAAGTTACTTCTGTAAGTACCGCGGTACAAGTTGAGCGTTATATTCGTGTGAAAAAAGGACTAATCTAGATCAGTCAGTCGGCGAGCAACATTGGCTTCTCTACTGTTCTGTGCCAGATTACCTTTTGACGAAGCCGTTATCTTTCAGATTTATCTCTGTGCATTTTCCAGCAAATTTTCGGTTCGTCATCTGAAAGAAGTTCTAGTAAAAACTTTAAAAAAACAGGCTTTTCTCATACTCAGTCGGCGGTCAACGAGGCAGTTGTTTTGCGCTATCAAGAAAACCATCTCGGGTTCAACATTTACACGGATAGTTGTGTTCTTTGTTGTAGTGTCAATGGCTGCCAACAACATACTGGTCTTCAACATTGTCGTTTTATCATCATTCATAATAGCCCTAACGGAGGCATCCTCACCCTCCTCACCACAGTTACGGCGGCAGAACTACTCATTGAAACGCCACCACCTCATTGGCAGAAGACGAACTCAAGACGATGCAGAAAATGTCGTCAAGAATAATGATACTACTACTAGTAGTAGTACAACTCGCAATATTACCTTTGCGCTCATCCCCAAGACCATTGACAATCCCTTCTTTGACGTAAGCCGGGATGGTTGTATGGATGAAGCGGAACGAATAGGAGGAGGCGTCACATGTATATATCCTGGTCCGGCCACGGCCAGTGTGGACGAGCAAGTCAATTTGATTCGTTCCTTGATTCAAAACAAAAGCGTCGATGGGATTGCCGTCTCGGCCATTGATGCGAATGCGCTTGTGGAAGTGATAGAAGAAGCTACTTTGGCAGGAATTCCAGTGGTGACCTTTGATAGTGATGCAGCTCAAACAAATCGAGTATCCTACATTGGAACCGACAATGAGGCCTTTGGGGAACGTCTCGGGAAAGTTCTGAAACAGATTCAGCCGGAGTCTGGAACCTTTCGAATGGTGTCAATTCCAGAGCCAAACATTCTTCAGAGAGAAAGGGGGACTCGAAGAAAGCTGTTAGAGGAGGGATGGTTGGAAGCCGGGGCACCCTCCAATATGATGGGCAACTCAACCTTGGTAGTGGAACAAATGTTCCAATTTATGCAAGAGGACCCAACTTTGACTGCCATTGTACCAGTCATGGGAGCAGGGATGCGGTCTCCCATATGGCATGATTTTGTCATGGCATATCCAGACGTATTGTTGGTAGTTGCCGATGCCATGCCAAATCAATTGGAATATTTGAACCGAGCCTATTGCAATGGTTTGGTCGGTCAATTGCCCTATGAAATGGGAGCCAGAAGTATTCAAGTGCTACATGATTTGTATACCGGCAAGAGTGATCCAGCAGAAGTGCCACAATTTATTGCCACCAACGTACTCGAGCACTTGAGGATACCTCTGGAACTACCACCACTTGTCAAGGATTACAATTTGGTGGGCGAGCTTCGATATGTTGGATATGCACTCTTTGGTATAGTGGCTACCATGGCAACAAGCTTTATGGGATGGGCCTTTGTGCACCGGCGTATGCGTGTGGTCAAAGTGGCGCAACCTCAATTTCTAATCATGGTAGCCCTTGGATCGCTCATCATGTGCTCGGCCATTCTTCCGCTGGGCTTTGACGATGCCACCTCACAAGTCTCGGACCATCCAGGAATTACCGTTTGCATGACTCCAGTGTGGTTATTGATCGTCGGATTCAGCTTGACATACTCTTCCCTATTTGCAAAGATCTATCGAGTCAACCTAATCTTTAAAAGTGGTGAACGATTTGCAAGGGTTCAGATGAAAGAGAGGGAAGTTTGGATTCCTCTTACTAGTCTTTTGCTAGCAAATGGAGTCATCTTATTAACTTGGACGTTGATGGATCCACTAAAGTACACTCGATTGGACGAAGAAGGCTTGGATGGTTGGGATCGACCAATCAGCAGCTACGGGACATGTCAATCCGAAAACTCTGTGCCTTACTTGGTTCCATTGGGGATTCTCAACGGTGTGGTGCTGTTGTTTGCAAACTGGTCAGCGTATGAAGCAAGATCAATTAGCAGCGAATTTGCCGAGAGTAAATACGTTGCCATGGCCATGGCAAGTCTGTTTCAGGCTCTCATCAGCGCGGTACCAGTCTTGTTCCTAGTCCAAGGGTCACCACAGGCATTCTACATGGTGTTTGTATTCATGATTTTTGTCATGTCCTCTGCCATCATTTTGCTGATATTCATTCCAAAGGTAGTCGCCTACTATGAATTCAAGAATCAGCCAGCCCATCTGCAGCAGCAAGCCATTGAAAGATCCATCCGAGATTCTGGCAAAAAGATGCGACGGAGCTCCGTATTTCGGTATTCTTCTTGGAGATTGGAGAGTGATCGCGAGATGCTCTCTACGTTAGATAATGAGAGCAGCCCGGAGTTGACGACCCATCATAACTTTCAACAAGGTTCTTCAGGAGGGGTATCGGAATCTTTCATCCGCGCCTCAGACGATGGACAAAACAAGAGTTCCCAGATGGGTCGTCCTTTCGCCGACTCGAGCGAAGCCCTCACAGTATCGTCTTGGCCAGGGGAAAGCAACAAACCAACAACTGGTGGTGAGAGACAAACCATTAGTAGTATTAGTGGTAGTGGTAGTAGATCCGGATTGATGAGTGGAACGAGATCGCAGCACTTGACCGCCAGCAGTCAGTCGGTCGCAATGTCACCCGTCGCAGAAGACGGGAGTTCCAACGAGGAGCGAAAAGTGATACGAATCGAATCCACAAAATCACTCAAAATGAAATCACTCTCGGACGTGGACGACGACGCGGCAACCAAAAAGACGGTACTTCCTATTGCAATGAATACGGTACTTCCTATTGCAATGAATAAATCGCTGTCGCTGTCGTCCATGACCGAAATCATGGAAAGGAACAGGGCAATGTGGAGTAAGTCTCTCAACACAAAACAAGTGTCGGAAACAGACTTGGCAAATAACAAGAAGAAGAAGGATAGCGAGGCGGAAGGCAAGCATCCGATGAAGATGACAATAATAGAGACAAAAGACAAATCAGGTGGGAAGATGAGTCGAATGAGTTCTCGGATGAGCTCAGACGATGATTCGATATTAAGTGCCTAATACTGCAGCACTAATGATGTCGATTGTTTGATAAGCTAGTAGACCATTCTGTTACATTACTAGATTTTCCCTTTTTATTGGTCGGGACTTCTTGATTACACCTAAGACATCTTTTTAAATAGTCATTCCAATTTTTTCCTTTTATTCCATCATTGCTGCTGAATAAGCAGCATGGCCCATCATATACCACACGTAACAATAAGATGGTATTGTGGAGGCAAATAGCAATGGGAATCGTTTGTAGGCAAATGGGTAGAACATTCGAAAGGCGAACCAAGCCCAAGCGATTCGAGCTGCGCCTCCAGCGTCGACAAAGGTAGCGTAGGCAAACATGCTCACGAAAAATGGGATCAGTTGCTCCAATAGATTCCCCGCACATCGATCGGCGCAAAGAATGGCAGGGTTTTCATTCCTCTTGGTTCCATATTTCAAGTCGGTGAGCAAAGGAGGTTCGTTGAGTATTTTTGCTTCAAACAACTTTTGGAGTCGAAAGTATTCCGAAAAGGTGACATAACCTTGCATGTAATAAAAAGAGTACAATAGTGCCAAGACGGCTGTCGAGACAAATACAATGGGGGCATAGTCTGCATTGGCATTGGCAGGTCCTTGGTACTGGAAGGTTCCATGGTTCCATGCGGATATGCCTGCAGCCACAATGACAGTATACAAGGCAATGATGCCCGAAAAAGGCAGCCACAGAATGTTCTCACTCAGTTCTGCAGCACCCTTGTCCATGATTTAGATCTGTGTTCTAACTTTCTTTTTTAAAATTATTTTATAGGAAACATCGCCATTCGTTGCAGGCATATCTTTTTCTGAGAGTTTAGTCGTGATGGGTATGATTCACGACTTGATTGGACGTTGATGTACAATGCCTAACTATTTCAAAGGCTGTGTCTGCCACACCATTAGCGACCATTCAATGCCTTGAGAAATACTGTTTGGAGTGACATTGTGGAGTATGTTCGACCCAAGTGGGTATGTCATTTAGGTCTCTGAGGTGTGTTTTTTTGTCTGAGGTGTTTTAATTTCCTGCCATGAGCCTTTTCTGTAATCTAAATTTTATCTAGTTGTTGGCTCTCTGTAGCTCAGTTGGTAGAGCGGTGGACTGTAGTCGTACAACATAAATCCATCGGTCACTGGTTCGATTCCGGTCGGAGAGATTTTGCAGAAAATACTTTTGTTTTTGTTTCGCCAATAAGCAGTGCCAGGTACGCACCTATTATTGCACCTCCAGTATTGTTTGCAAAACAGTATTTGCTGCTTTACTTACTTTTAGTAATATTACAAATAATTTGGAGACTAGGACCTACGACTACTATTCCACATGATCATTATCACCAGGTAGGACTAGGAAAATATTATTATTATTACTATTATGCCAACACGTCCTTCTCCGACGTGTAAGCATGCCCATGATGACCCAATGCCCTACCATCGTTCCGTTGCCACACTTGTTTGTATGGCACTGGATACGGTATGGGCGTAATATTGTATCGATGCAGCATAAAGGCCCATAGCGGTTGATCCCGCCAACTGTCTTCTTCCAGCGAATATTGATCCCAAAAGGCTTGCGATAATTCCCGGTAGACTTGTGAATTGGGGTCGTATCCAAAGTTTTCGTTCATGTAGATTTTGGCTTTTACATCGAGATCTTCTTGGGCAATCATCCACTGCAGACTTTTCACAATGTTCTTGTCAATGTCTTTTTTGCTGTCCTTGATGGCAAGGAATTCACCAATGACACCACTTCGATTCTTGGGATGTGGCCATTGCATCAGTCCAGTACCGGTCTCGTCGGTAGCAATTATGTCTGCCAATTCTCTCCACATGGTCTGATTCTCCGATGGTCGTAGACAGGCATCCATGTAAAAGACGGCCTTGCATTCTTGAATTTCTGGTTCCTTCCATCCCAAGAATTTGCCATATCGCGAATGGGTAATGATCCGTCGATACTTGAAATGCGTGACAATCTTGGTCCATCCAGGCGTGGACCATTCTTGATCGTTCAGATTGGTAAACAAATAAAATCTCAGATAGGGTGATTTGTTGTTGATCACCAGCAATTTGTCCATCTCTTTCTTTTTCTTGCTATAACTTGCTGTGATGAAACAAACTTCCGGTTGTATCGTGGCTCCTTCGTCTGATTCGTTCGAGCCACGCAGTTGTTGACTGCTACTATCGTCTGAATTTGGATTTTCAAAACTGACGGATGGTACTCTCGATTGAATATATCGCCGTCCTTCGTAGTATCCATGATACAGCAACGCAAGTATGCCCGATGTGACAATGAAAACCCGTATTCTCTTGTACAAATTCTTTCTCCGTCGCATGGCACTTTGGTTCAGAGTTTTCTTGACATCGTGATCTTCGGATATCGACAATTTCAATGTGTTTCGTATCGGCGAGTAGCCATTTGCATTGTTTGCATTGCCATTTGCAGTATTATTGTGGTGGTGGTGATTGTCATTGTGATGTTGTGGCTTTCGATGAAGCATTGGAGGCATGGTGGATGGTAGATGGTAGATGGTAGGCGACTATTAAAATAACTGTATATTACTAGAATCCAAAGCAGTTTGTTTCAGGGTGTGCTGGATACAGAATTGGCGTCGCTATAGTGGCAGAAGGAACAAAGGAAATTGTCGCCAGAAAAGAGGTGCCGCAACCTATTCATTCGTACTCTCTGAAAATTGAATTTTTGTTCTTGTTTGCCAAATTTGAGAGATGAAACACGTTACCGGTACGAGTTACCACAGGTAGTCAATGTGGTCGAACAGTGACCAACCTCACACGCCCGGTCGGACTGACCGTGTCATACTGGACGCGAGATCTCGCGAGTCAGTCTAACGGACGATGGAATGAAATTGTGGAAAAAAGAACAATATTGAATATGCGAAAGAAGAATTGTTGTCTCATCACATCATATCATATCACATCACACCATCATTCATCACATTACAAGTACCCATTACTACAACCTTCCATCATTTGTTTCCTACCGGCACTATCAATGAATCATCTCAAACTCCTCCCTCTTGCAGGAACCATTTCCTGCATAATTGCCATCTTTTGCATATTTATCACAGCTCTTGTCAAAGGTTTGGGTGACATCACCAACGGTCCAGCACAGAATTTAAAAGATTACGTTCCTGTCTTGTATGTGACGGCCTCGGCCATCTTTTTGTTGTACACCTTGTTTTGGAATCAGGGTTACACTACCTTCACGGAACACGAGGCCTTGCAACAAAGATTCGAAAAGGAAGGGTATCAAAATGTTGACGGCCATCATGATAATGATGGTGACCCAAATCACAACAAGGGACCATCTCTAACGCAAGTCAAGTATGGAGGTCAAAACAAAAAGATTCGAAATGCGGATCGATTTGTAGGAAATCTACAAGAGCAAATGATTCCTTTCCTGATCAGCATGTATGCCTATTCAACCTATGTCAATGCCAGGAGTGCCGCTCAAATTGGTTGGGCGTGGCTCTTTTTTCGATCCTATTATCCCTTTACATTTACGAGGTTTCCTTTGCTATTCGCGTCGACTCTTCCAGCCTATGGATGTGTATGGTTTATGCTGCTTCGTGCCGTCTATGCCGCCACCACGACCACATGAACTTATTCACTTTTTAAAAATGGATTGCCGAGCAACATCATTTGGTTTTGGATTGTGACAGCAGGAGCCCAACTTGCCTATGGAATAAGGCCACACAATTTTGGATTTATAATATTAAAATACACTTCATTTGTCATCAGTATAAAGGCAATTCATACAGTACATGTCAGAGGCATGATCAGTCGTAAAGTCAGTTAAAGTCACTACTGACAACCTTCTGCGGAAACGTGATACTGTCCACCAAACTGATCGTTGCCCTCCACATGTATGCCAGATCGCACATTGCATTGAGCATTCTTTTGCAGACTGATAATGTAATGAAACCAATGGGAGGGGATAAATAGTACCTCTCCTGCCTTGAGTACTGTTTCCACAGCTTGGGCACTCTTGGCTTGTTCCAACCACTCACGCTCCAAGTCGGATGTCACGCTACTACTATCCGAAAAGGGCAGTCGTTCCAAATTCAAAAGGGAATGACGGTAAAGCGCTGTTCCTCGTTCCGTATGAATGCCCAATTTGCTGCATTGATTGGGTGGACTCAAGATATAACGTTTTGCTCCAGTGATCATTCCTACCATGTTCTGACCACCATCAAAGTGATTGGCAGCAGTGACCCCACGTTCACCAAACCGACACTGAATTCCTTTGGATTGGGCTGGATCTGGACACAGAATGGTGGTATTCGGTTCGGTGGCAGAAAACGAGGGCAAGTCCAGACTCAGAAATGACCAAGTATCCTTGGGTTGGTACCGTTCCTCCTTGGGAACACCAGCTTGCCAATAGAAATGAGGACGTCGACTTGGTATGCGCTCGTGGTCGGCAAAGCGAGCATGCTTGGCCCATCGTCGGAATCCAAAGTCATTGTCGCGAGTGGGCGGTAATCCCATGGTGGCTACCTCCCACTTTCGCCGATCGTAAAAGGCAAAAAAGCTAGTGGGAGATTCTTGGCAGTTTCCTTTGGCCGAACGACTTTGAAACTGTTCGGCCACATAGGCATCGGTCCACTTGAGATTTGCCTCCAAAAGCTCTGTGACATTTGTCAATTTGAAGGGTAGCTGTTGGTCCATGAAATTCCACGCCTCGTAAAGTTCGTCAGCATTGGTGTAATCAAAATGCTGAAGGGTTTCTCGGATCGGTTCTAGTGCCGGTCGTGGACGATCGATTTCATCTTGAGGCCACGCCGAGAAGATCTCTTGCAAGGTTGACAGGCGTGGATAACCTTGCTTGCTTTCTTCTATGGTACGAAATGAGGGATATATATAGAGCAATGGATTGGTGTAATCCATGTATGGCTTTCCAGTATATGGATCGGAGTTGGCATCTTTGTAAATCTTTCGGTTGCTCATATCTTCGTCTTGCTCCCAGGGAAAGGTATCAAAGAGACGAGACAATTTGAAAAACTCGCCATCCGATGAATCCACAGGCTTATCATCCGACGATTTCCCTTTCCAATGTCGTTCATTGATGGTGCCATTGCGAAACAATAGCAAATCTGGGTTCAACAGAATGTCGCTTCTGGAAATCTTGTCACCCACTATTGCCTGATCCAATGTTTCTAGCTCCTTCAATAACCTGGTTATCCTTTCCTTTTCTTTATTTCTTGACTCGGGCGATGATTGTGGGCTAGATTGGCGCCTGGATGGAGGCGGCACTTTCTGCTTTGGATTGGATTTTTGGTTATTGGCATCGTGGTTGGTCTTTATAGTAGTATTATTGGCATAATAATAATTCAACCCAAACGTTGGTTGTCCTTGTGACTTCCAAACATGATACAGAATAACAGAGAAAGCAACGACCAAAATAAAGACAAAAATCGTCGCCACCATGAGTAGGTTATCTCTCTGCCGTTCCTTTCGTAGTCTTTCATGTCTTATTTCTCGTTGCCGTGATTGTCGTGAAGTGAGGAGAGACCCCTTTTTGGTGTCCGAAGTATCAGCTCTAGTAGCAGTAGTATTCGGTCGATGTCTCTTTGAAAGGCCATTCGATGCCTTATCAATACTTTTCATGATAATAGAATCAGCGACTGTAATATTGAAGTGACATTGTGTGGTATATTACTGTACTCTTGATCGAAGAAATGGCTTATCATAAGGTATGATTTTTATGTTATATTTGAGGTGTGGAAGATTTTCTTTGTTACCCTATTTGAGGCCCAATTCTAAGCGTGCAAATGGAGGTCTCTCTGTAGCTCAGTTGGTAGAGCGGTGGACTGTAGTTGTACATCATATATCCATCGGTCACTGGTTCGATTCCGGTCGGAGAGATAACTTTTGGATTCAGTCTGAAACCATTTGCGATAACATTTTGCTCATTCCTCTATAGTGTCGTAACAAGCGGAGACATGGTAATTTCAAGTTCACTATTTACCTGATACCTTCCTACTTTCAAAAAGTGTAATATAGCAAGCTTGTATTGCCTTCTGGTTCTATTTATCTACTGCTAGTAGTCTTCTATTGTTGGTCCCATTGATCTAGGTACCGTCCGTTTGATGTGCTGCAACCTCCAACACCTGCTCCTTTAGCACACTGTACTGGATGGATGTGGTGTAAAAGTCATCTATCTGAATGAGTCAGCCAGTCAATCAGTCGACTATGGGCTGTAATATGCCATGGCGTATTGGCAAGGCGCAACTTTTTCAACTTTTTTACAACTGCGATTCCCTTCATTTCTTGCGCATTGGCTCTCCACTCTCCATTACTGCATATCGTTTACCACACTATGTCGACTCTGTTTTGGCAACTATATAGTACTATTCGTGTACTTGCTGGCATAGCCTGGAACTCTCTCCTTCAGCAACTGCCAAGGGACGTCATCCTTGATCAATTCAGGAAATTTCCCCAAATCTTTCAAAAGGCGCTCATCCGATTTGCAAGCCAGTTGACTGCTCCATTCTTCCTTGGATACATCGGCTCGTCCTCGTGAACACCGCTCCTTATATTCTTCCAAGGATTTGCTCTGATAATGATAAACTGCAATCTGATCAACGACCAATTCAGGATTGAAAGGTCCAGCCACAATATTGCCGTCGGTATCGTACGTATGCATCCACCAACGAAAAAGTAGATAGTCCACAAAGTGTGGGTTTTTAACTTTGCGCACAAGATGGGTTCGAGCAATGGTCTTGATGTGCTGGCTGGTCGCATGTTCCGATCGATTCTGAAATCGCATTGTGACGGGCAAGTCTTGGTAATGCATTTGATGGTTCAAAAAGAAAGCCACCCAATTCATTGCCAAGCCACCATATTCAGGAGGAAGGCTCTCCAGAAAGTCTGAAATATAAGGATACCGTTGGGTGTCTCGCAATACTACAAATTCATCAATATCGATGAAAGCAACCCATGCATGAGAACGAGTCTTTTGAATTTGTTTGACACAGCTTGTATAGGCTTCGTTTTGTCGTTTCGGCCCCGGAAAATGACGAATGTGAGTTCTCTGTTGCAATTTGCTTGGGTTAAAATTAGCCAAAGATTGATGCCAGGCTTGTAATTCAAAGTCTTCCGAGTTGTCGTATAGAAAAATGTCTTCAAACCCCAATGCCAACAGATGGTATTGGACCCACTCGTCAAGATACCTCAGCCCACCCTTTTGAATAGCGCATATGGCCGCCTTTTTATTACTGTTATTGATGTGGCCTTTTGGGTCCGTCGTACTGACAACATAACCTTTGGGCTGTTGACAGAGGATGATGAACAGCAGACTGCCACCAATCGCCAAACTGACAATAATCTGAAACAAATGTTGCGATGGCTTGAATCGACCTGCCGATGACAAACTTGAGACTGAAGAAGAACCACAACTGGACGATGGCGCTAGTAAGGAATCTAAGGATGAAGAAGAAGATGGCTTCCAAGCACGACAGTTGATCATAATCCTTGAAAAGTGGAATGCATGATGATGTTGATGATGATGACACAGTATAGAAACTTCCGGCAGAAATCTGTTTTCGAAACGAGACTAGGAAAGTACCTCAAGACAAATACAGGTATTCTTTTTTGGCCTAATAGGAGTGTACATAACCCAAATCCATCAGATTAGTTTCAAAAAGAAAAGAAATCACATTCAGAATGGTAACTGAAGATCCGCTTCGAATACGGTATGCTTTTCGGTCATCCTGATTGACTGTCGTTCTTGCCCCATCATCTCCTGGAGCACTATTGGCTGATGCATCTGCGATTTCCACAACGACATCTCTAGCAACGTTGTGGCTTCCATCCTCTCGAACTGCGACAGAGCCATGGAAGCTTCTTGAAGTAAAGATCGTCTTTGTCTCTATTCATCCTCAGCCACAATCGCATCCACCCTAGCTATTCGACATTTTGGACTTCCAACAAGATTCCAATCCGTTCCAGCAGCTCGATACAGAACCTACCATCCATCATTGAAGAGCCATTCGAAGTATATGGTCCGAGAGTCTTCCGACAGATGAGAGCTTCGTTGACAGTAGTAGTATTCAATGGCAGTCTTTCCCTTCACGTTTTTCCGTCCAAGGACATTAGCTGGATACGCATCGAGTACTAGGATTTGCAAAAAATCAAGTCGACACTTTGCAGCCGACAGCAGAATGTGAAATGGTGTCGTACCGAAAGGATCAACCAATAAGTGATCATTGGTACTATTGCCTTCTTGCGAGGATTGCATTGATAACTCAATCTCCCGAGCGAGCTCATCTGTCGTTGCTTGTAGTAGTAAAAGAGGCGTGGTAGCATTTCTTGTGTATCAGAAAGTTGTCGAATCGACGCATCAGGGCAAGCGGGATGCTCGTGTCGCCATATTGATCTTTCAGCACTGTGCAGCCTCTGAAGCTGTTGATGTCCACACCACCGGAACGACTATCGTCGATACTCGATGGGGTTAAATTATTTGGGATTCGGGAGATGGCTAAATAGTCGACCCCCACGACTGACTACCTAGGATACTACCGTACTGGTACCGCATATTCAATATTCAATATACGCAGTAGTTTACATCTATTTTTGACTATCTAAGATAGCCTACTGCCGTCCTCCGTGTGTGTGTTCGTAGTATTTTGTCTTGGTGTGTAGCTGGTGGGTTGTGGTGTGAAGCGGGTCGAACTGATCGAGTAATAGACTCGATTCGTTCGACCAATCTCAGAAATCCCGTGTGCGGTATTACTGAGATCTGCTTTCCTACCAGGCACCGCCGATATGGTAAAATGGAGGCGGTGCCCAACAGGGCGGGTGAGGTTTGGGAGAGAAAAATTGAATTACCACGACACAAGTGGGTGAATTCAATCTCAGTCGATAAACTGGGCATCATTGCCTGGGCGCATCGACAACAACTTTTTGACGGTCGAAGGCCGTTCGGCCTTTGTCCGTCTGTAACACAATGTAGTCAAGGAAATCGAACAGTGTGCCTGCGGTCTACATACGTTGGAAAATAGGTACCTTTAAGAAGGCATCCTATTGAATGAATCTTCATAGAATTTCGTTAGGGGCAGCAGGAACTCTAACTGATACCAGCACTGAATGGAGGCACAATATATATACCGCCGGAGGTCGCGGGCAGCAAATACCTAATATAAAATATGGGCACATGCCAATTTATTATCATCACATGTACCGGTACGTGCACTCATATTGGGCGTCATGTGTGATGCAGTGTAGTTTTTACATCTGTGGTTCCACCTTTTATATTCTAACACCTCACTCTTAGACCACACAAAGTTCTTCGCCAATACGGATCGATCATACATAATGATAAAGTCATAATGTACTGTACTTGTTTGTATAGCTTGGTACACGCTCCTTGAGCAATTGCCACGGCGCATCGTCTTTGGTTAGTTCTGGTTTTTCCTGCAGATTCTCCAGAATCTTCTCCTCAGATTGGCACGCTAAATGTTGTTCTGCTATTTTCTTGGACACGGTGGCCCGCCCTCGCGAACATCGCTCCTTATACTCTTCCATGGACTTACTATGATAATGATAGACGGCTATCTCTTCGTCGGCCAATTCCGGATTGAAGGGCCCCTTGACAATATTCCCCCTGCTATCATAAGTATGAAGCCACCATTGAAATAAGCGATACGCAACATAGTGTGGATTCAACGCTTTGCGGACGAATTTTGTGCGGGCAATCGTCTTTATATGTCGGTTGGTAGCATCGTCTGTACGATTCTGAAATCTCAAAGTCACGGGCAAGTCTTGGTAGTGCATTTGGTGATTCAATAGAAAGACTACCCAATTGACAGCTAGACCACCGTACTCAGGCGGCAAGGTCTCGAGAAAGTCTGAAATCTTAGGATATTGCTTTGGATTTCGCAATACCACAAACTCGTCAATGTCGATAAAAGCAATCCAATCGTGCCATCCTTTGTTTTGAACTTGTTTCATGCAGTGCGTATACGCCTTGTTTTGCTTTCTCACTCCAGGAAAGTGTTGAATGTGAATCCGCTGTCGCAACCTTGGAATATATGATTCATGCCAAGCTTGTAACTCAAAGTTTTCCGAGTTGTCGTACAAATAAATGTCTTCAAAACCCACAGCCAATACATGGTATTGGACCCACTCGTCAAGATATCTCAGAGCTCCCTTTTGAATCGCACATATCGCAGCCCTATTATCACCATAACCTTTTGGTTGTGGCGACATAATAAGTTTTACTAGTAGACTGGCACTGCCAACAATGACAATGGCCACCAGAATTGGTAGGAAAACGAAGAAGGCTAACGATCGCTTATTGGATTCACTTGGTTTTGCATCTCCTTTTCCACCACTCACATCACCATCGGAAGGCGCTGGCGATGATGGGCGTAAGGAAGCTGACTTCCAAGGACGACGGTAGATCATACTTCATTCTTCTCTTGTTGATAGTGGGTGGATGCATTCAAATCTTTTTTTAATTAATAATGTGTCATTTGTTTTGCGAAAGTCTGAATAACTGCTGTGGAAATAATAATTGTGCACAAAGTGCTCCTGTATTCAATACCGATAATTACAAACTCTTCAACGACTATTTTAATAAAAAGAACTCTATGGAAATAAGCGGATGCGGCGTGAGCCCCAAATCGCAGGCACATGCATGAGCGACCGTCTATTTTTATCACATATATTTGGGCCGTTATATTTCAATTTCATTTCAGCACCCTCTCTAAGTAAAATTAGCCCAAAGTCAATTGGTTCTTTGCTCGCATGTTCTACTGAATCGGCAGCAAGAAGTCGTCCTACTGTATTATTCTTTTTATGGCAGCTCCATCGATGACGGCTGAATTAACGAATGAATAATAGTCAAGCAATCAGTACTTGATGAACAATTGCTTATATTATGGAATTATATTATGGAATCTACATCGTCATTACTATTGGCAAGTTTTGGGAATAAGATCATACGATACGGCTTCGATATGAGACCACAGACTTACTATGAGCAAGTACAATAAGTACGTTACGCTGTGGAGTATACATACCGAGCAACAAGTGGCTGGCTGGACTTGTGGTTGAAGAAGATTACAGCAAACCACTGAGAGACAACAAAAGTAGTCCATCTTAATTCTTGGCAGCCAACCCGAGTCATTTCCACTACCACCACGACGACCACCACGACGACCACCATCAACAACGCCAATACTTGACTACTTTCAACCGTGGGGTTGATGATGGGACTTGTTCGGCAACAATAGAATTGGAGACCGTTGCATGCAGCAAGTGACGCAGGGTTTTGCGGACATGGTTGAACTATTTTACTGACCTCTGGTGCGAATGTTGATGCTGTTGACACAATATACCAATCGTACGGCATTAATTGCATGCGACTATAATTGTTGAAATAGTGCTATTACGGAATGGCGCCAATGTGAAGGTTGTTGATGCAAAATGTGGACACCATAGCATGGAGCTTGTGTCCGACAACGTCGTCGTTGAATCGTTGTCGAACTTTTGTTGCGTCATGGTGGTAGTCTATATAGTAGCTATGGCTGGTGGTGAACAGAACGTAAACAATGATCGCACTGCATCACCAATAAGCTTGCAGAGTTGGTGAAATCGACTTAATGAAAGCATTGCTGGACAATGGTGCTAATATGGAACTTTGTCCTGTCAAAAGAGCCACGTGGAGATGTGGTGTATGGCTACTGGTGAAGCAATTTCCGATTGGAGTGTTGATGGATAGACGGGCACAAGATCCAAAAGATAGCACTGTAGTAGAGCGTACCAGGTACTAGATGCCATTGCAGACAATTTGGTTACGATATGATTAAACTAGGTAGTGTTCGCCAAATCAGCCATTATTGACACTGGAGTGTTCATGTGGTGTGATAGTAGACTGGTCCACCATATAGTGCTCGTCTAGTAGAATCCTGTCCATAGTGAACACTGGTGAAACTAGTTGCGTCGTAAAGTTGCTAGTTGGATACGCCTTCCTTACTTCTAGCTCTATACTATTCGTCTATCTACTGTCGCCAATAAAACATAGACACTTCGGCGTCTTGTTCGCTCGTCAGTCATACGATGCATCTGAATGAAACGCAATCTTACTACTATTACTAATATATCATCAATATTGATATTCCATCTTAGAAAATTGTTTTCCTCATCCAGAATCTGTATCCTTCCTAATATGCGGTGTGCAATGTGATTGATTGTTGTGTATATGAATTCGCCAACTGCAACTAAAATTTCATATTCGCGTTGCAGCAGAGGCACCGTCATATGCGGTTGCTCTCTTTTCCGCATCGTTCACAGAACGTTATGCGTACAGGCTATACGCAAACTTCCCAGATGCTCCAGTCACACTCCAACTATACTTTCATATACGCGTTGTAGCAGAGGCCCCATCACCGGTGGCACTCTTTTAAGGATCAGCATCTTTCAGGGAACGTTTGCACACACTTGTTGAGGCCAGTATGTTTGCCATTTTTCACATACACAGTCAAAACAAACGACAGCTCCCACGTGGAGCTGAAGCGGACCGGAGAGATAGCTCAATGCCAGTTATGCTCTCTCTTTGGGATATCGCTTACGGGGTTCCCCCAGCCAAAGAAGTATGTGTTCTGGATTTGAGAAGCACCGCCATCTTCATGGGGTTGCTCTCTTTAGAACGATCAGTGTCGTTCAAGGAAAGTTTGCACATCATACTTTTGTATGTATATGCCTTATTCCCTTCACATCATGCACAGTCAAATCAAACGACAGCTCCCACGTGGAGCTGAAGCAGGACCGGAGAGCCAGAAATTTCTCTCTCTTTGGGATATCGCTTACGGGGTTCCCCCAGCCAAAGAAGTATGTGTGTTGTGTATTGGTGTTCAGACAACTTACGAACTCACCTGCTGTACGCCATAACTCTCAGCCAAATACTCCAAGAGTTGGTGTCGCAGCAGTACTCTTGCATGCCAGCCCCAAAATGAGGCCTTTATTGCAATCGAAGCACGGTAGAGGTTGAATGAACATTCGAGTAGCTCTCCTTTGGAGTAGCTCTCGTGACAAAATAAAGCCTCTGCTTTGATTTTGTGAGCATTTGGAGTGTGAAAAAGTGAAATTGAAGAAACCAGTTTCGAAACGGCCAAGACTAAATTCAGCGAAAGTTTGAGCACGTTTTCGGCAGGTTCTCAATTTCTCCGTGCCCGTTTGCAGATCCGAAAGTAGAGTCCGTTGAGTCGAACACGTTTGGGATTTCTCCGTATAAAAAAAAGATCGAATTTCTTGCTACCGGGTATTAATACACTCTTACATACAGTACGGTATATATTACCTCAATTCGGTCTGCAGAAGAATAATTGTGGTATTTTAATATATACTACTACTGTATTTTTAAGACTTTATTTTAGGATCTATACCATCCGAATGATCTAAACTCGACATCAGCGATCACTTCTGTCTGAAATATGTGTATTAACAATACCAAACAAAATATTATATCTGCTAACGGCTTCAATTAAACCAGCCCTTGGCAAATTGGTTGGCGCAGGATTTGACTCGTGTGATTGCCAAGAAAAAATGCCGATCTATCGTACCGGTATGAGTGTGGCACTGGTACGACCTTTAAACCAAACAAAAGCCGACAGAAAAAATAGGATGCTTGCATGATTACACATATGATTGATTCATTCAACCACCGATTTTTTTCCAGCAGGTGATGGTTTGGACACCGTCTTTTCTCTTGTTGTTCGTAATGAGACGCAATTTTTCCAACCGGTGCGACCCCCATTCGTTCTTCCTGGTATTGACTCACATATCAATATCGCTGCAACTATGTACTATTGGTGTACTTGTTAGCGTAGCCTGGAACCTTCTCCATCAACAATTGCCAAGGGGCGTCGTCCTTGATTGATTCGGGAAATTTCCCAATCTTCCTCATGATGTGCTCATCCGATTGGCAAGCCAGTTGACTACTCCATTCTTCCTTGGACGTTGTTGCTCGTCCTCTTGAACACCGTTCCTTGTATTCTTCCAAGGATTTGCACTGATAGTGATAGACTACAATCTGATCATCGACTAGTTCATAGTTGAAGGGTCCCTCCACAATATTGCCGTTTGTATCGTACGTATGGATCCACCAACGAAAGAGTAGTAGGTAGTCCACAAAGTGTGGGTTTGATACCTTGCGCACAAGATGGGTCCGAGCAATGGTCTTGATGTGTCGGTTGGTCGCGTGGTCCGATCGATTCTGGAATCTCATTGTGACTGGCAAGTCTTGATAGTGCATTTGATGGTTCCAATAGAACGACACCCAGTTCATTGCTAATCCGCCATACTCGGGCGGTAGACTCTCTAGAAAATCCGAAATAGTAGGATACTGTTGGGTGTCTCGCAATACTACAAATTCATCAATATCGATAAAGGCAATCCATTGATGAGAGCGAGCCTTTTGAATTTGTTTGATACAGTGCGTATATGCTTCGTTTTGTCGTGCCGTCCCCGGAAAATGCCGAATGTGAATGATCTGTTTCAACTTATTGCTTCGGTCACTACTACTAGCAGTACTAACAGTCGTACTAGTATCATCCAAAGACTGGTGGTACCAAGCTTGTATTTCAAAGTCGTCAGAATTGTCATACAAATAGATATCTTCAAAACCCACAGCTAATAGATGGTATTGGACCCACTCGTCGAGATATCTCACAGCTCCCTTTTGAATCGCACATATGGCAGCCCTATTATTGTTGTTATTGGTGTCACCGAAACGTTCGGGTTGTTGCGAAAGAGTTCTTATAATTTCTAGTGTAAGAACGACACCAGCACCAGTTATTATGACAGTGAGAATAAGCCAAAAGACGGATGATCGCTTGGATTGCTGGCCAGTTATCGTTGCAGAACCTGGCAGCAAGACTGTTTCACTATCACTATCATCATCATCATCATCATCACTATCATCATCACGACAATCACCATCATCAGCAACAGAAGACACTGTTGGCAACGTTTTTCGTCCTCCTCCTGCTCGTAACGACTGCAATGTTGAAAAGGAACCTGACTTCCAACGACGGCGGTGGATCATCATCCTTCATTCTCTTTTTTTATATATTGCGATTGGTGCATTAATTTTTTAAAAATGTAAAATGTGTGGCGTATGTGTGTTTTGGATCCAAAACGACGCACACGCATGTGTGGGCCATATATGTATATTACGAGTAGGCACGTTGTGAATTCATTTCATTCTCTACGATACATACCGCGTTCTTGTCTAATAAAATAAAAGCACTGTACCTGGTTTATTTGATCATCTTCACTCCAATAATACCATATATACCATAGTAGCATAATAATACTAGGTTGCAACACTATACTGCACGTGTGCATTATTATAGTACTCTTTACTCCCCCGTCCCTATCCTTAGTATTTTACGATATATCACGACATGTCACCACCATCATTACCACCATCACCATCAACAACATCCACAAACTGATTGGCATAACTTGGCACTCGTTCTTTCAACAATTGCCATGGTAAATCATCCACAATGGTTTCCTGCCAATTCCAGTATTCCGCCTTGATGACCTCTTCGGGTTGACAGGACAATTGTTCATTCCATGCTTTCAGCGGAACATCGGCCCGTCCTCGCGAACATCGTTCCTTGTATTCTTCCAACGATTTCGTATGATAATGATAGAGTGCAATCTCCTCCACCGTCTTGTGCTTGTTCCATGGTCCACGAACTCGATTGTTGGATAAATCTCGACTTTCAATCATTGGCCCAAATACAAGTTCCCAAATCAGCATGCCGAATCGTTTCCAGTAACGAGCAGTAGTACTATGTTGTTGTTGTTGTTGTTGTTGTTGGTGGTGGTAGTTGTAGTTGTAGTGCCGATTCAAGTATTGTCCCTTTTTTTCATAGTGCACAAAATGTGGATGGTCCACAAAGTCGATCCGATCCGTTCGAGCAATCGTCTTGATGTGGGTGTCCGTCGCATTGGCCGCTCGTTTCGAAAATCGTTTCGTGACGGGCAAGGGTTGGTACTGCTGCTGTTGATTCATGCCGATGATGATCCAATTGACGGCCAAGCCTGCATATCGTTCTTTTGGTAACGTATTCAATAAATTCATAATATTATTCGAATAGGTTTGATTCCGAATGACCAAAAATTCGTCCACATCGATAAAGGCAATCCAAGAATGGGCCTTTGTGTTTTGAATGTGTTTGACACAGTTCGTGTAGGCTTCATTTTGTCGATTGGGACCAGGAAAGTGTTGAATGGAAATTCGTTCGTGGACCGTTTGTTGTTGTTGTTGTTGTTGTTGTTGTTCTTGCCGCTGCTGCTGTATTATGATTGGATCCATGGTGGTGGTGGTGGTGGTTGTTGTTGTGGTTGTAGCAGTTGTTGTACTTGTAGTAGTACTAGCTGACGTCAAATTTTTTATATTCTTGTGCCATTCTTGCAACTCAAAATCATCCGAATTGTCATAAAAGTAAATGTGATCAAAGCCTATTCCGAGTAGATTGTAATAGACCCATTCATCGATGTATCGCAAAGCACCCTTTTGAATGACGCAAATGGCCGCACTGTTGTGATAGGTATTGAATTCTTTGGAAGCGGAGGCTGCTATGGATTCGGCTTCGGATACTAATGATAATTGATCATTGGTTGTTGAAGAAAAGAATTCATTCGTCGCCGAGTTGCTCACCAATTGCCTGTTGCTGAGAACCATGACCGTCAACATGGCCAACAGCCAATAGTGTTTGGAGTAGGAGAATGTCATATTCGTCGCTTTGGTGGATGATCTGTTGCTGATATTGATGGCAGAGGTTGGTAATATCGTAGACGGCAGCAATGATGATGTTGAGGCCGAGGCTGATCTTGAGGAGGATGATGATGAGGTATTGCTGTTGAGCCTGGTGCGGCATATTGACGGCTTTGACTTATTATTATTAGTGGTTGGCGAGGATGAGGAATGCGCCGAGGACGACCTTGGATGACGATGGCTGATCATTCTGACGTTTCTTTTATGTTGTCGTTGCAGTCGTTAGCATCAGCAGTAGTCGGTGGTGGTGATTCGTCTTGGTTTTGTGGCTGTTGTAATGCGATGTTATTTTTCTTGTATTTTGAATTTTGAGTGTTTCGTTTTCGTTCATCATCATCATCATTGGCAAACAAGAAGTAGTCGAACAAGTCGCATATCCTGCATTAAGACGACGATGACTCGACGGCGGATTACTCCGAAAAACATAACAGTACGTTCGTCAACGCCGCCAGCCACCACCGTTCGCATTGTCGCTCGCGCACCAATAGCATTGCTGGAGGGGGTCGTAAGTCGTAAATGACCCCAAAATGAATATCAGGTCGCCATAAATATACCACTCACTGCACTGGCGCAATTACACCATCAATACAGTACCGAGTACCGGTATACGAAGATTGATTGATTATTACCGGTATATTGAACTACAGTGCTTCACACATTCCTACCCAAGTGCCTTGACTGCAAGAACCTTTCCATCATTGAACTAGAAAGTCCATTCTTTGACATTCCAAGCGTTTCTTTATTTCATTCCAATCAATCAAAGAGCTCTTACGTGACAAACAACTATTATAATAATAACTACAGTACCGTACCGTACTGTAACAAACATAGAAAACATCACAGTATAAAACAGAGAACAAGAGGCAACAGAACAGCATGTACCGACCCACTCAAAGACGAACTCTGAATCAAGTAAAGCCCAATTCGGCATTCTTGAATCATGGCCAACAGCAACAAATGCCACCGCCACCACCACCGCCTCAGCAATTCCATCACCGTCGCTCCACGGGCAGCAGCCTCGGCAAGAACAATGGAAGCACCAACTCGTTGCAGTATAATCAGCAACAACCACCAAATGGTAGCGGACAACCGCCTTCTATTATTCACCGACCGCCTCCACGATCGCCTGGAGACATGAGCTTTAGCAGTGCCGGGACGAGTACTAGTACTTCGAATCTGTATGGTGCAGGAGCAGCCTCTCATACTATAATGCAGCCATCTCATCCAGCGGTAGCATCATCATTGGCATCAGCATCAACATCAGCAGCAGCAGCAGCGTATCCTTCCGCAACCTCCTCCTCCTCCTCCTCGTATCCACAACACAATCCACAAAATCATTATGCTGAAGTACGTCGAAAACCTGCGAATGCCTATTCTCAGAGTAGAAATGGAGGTGGCATTTCCTGTGGCTTCTTTTTGCTCTGGACCTGTCTACTAGCCGGTGGCGGATGGTTGTATTTCAACTATTTCCTATTGCCATCCCTCGTCAAAGATGTTACCCGCGAAGAAGTGGAACATACCAAACATCATTGGATGACCAAATATCATTCCTTGCAACTCAGTCATGAAGCTCTCGAGAAGTCACACGTCGAATTGAAACAAACCGCCGAAGCGGCCATTGTGGCGGCCGAAAAGGCTCAAAAACTCAATGGGAGTACCAATTCGGAACAAGTTCAATCTCTCTCGAGAGACTTGGAAGAAACCACCAACATGCTCATGCAAGAACGAACCTGGGCTGGAGAATGGAAGGCAAAGGCTATTGGGTTGGAAGAACATGCCAATTTTGTCAAGCAACAAATTCAAGAATTCTCCAGACGACGATTGATTCAAAAGTAAGTCTTGTACTTTGTTGAGATGTTCATGAATTGAATTGATTTGGTTTGATTTGGTTTGGCTTGGTGTGATTCTCACTTTCTTTCTTTCTTATAATTTTTTCTATTGCAAATTCACAATCAGATACGGGTACCGCCAATTGGCCGTCGAACTCGAACTCAACTTTGGCGAAAACGACTCGGCTTGGATTACCGTCGAATTGGCGCCCATGGACGAAATGCCACATTCGGTCTTCACCTTCCTGGAACAGGTCGAAATGGGCCTGTACGACGATGGTGGATATGCCTTTCATCACAATGGAGAACACATCATCATGGGCGCACCCGTGTACAACCAATTGACGCCACCCGATATGGACCCCGCCCAACGCTTTGCCGACAGTGGCGTGGCGTCCGTCTTGTTTCAAGAATATTCCTACAATTATCCTCACGGTGCCTACACGGTCGGATTTGCCGGTCGTCCCGGTGGACCCAATTTCTATTTCAATACCCGGGACAATTCGGAATTGCACGGACCGGGGGGATATGCCGAAGATGGGAGTGCGGATCCATGTTTCGGACGAGTGACACGGGGGACAGATATCATTGATCGGATGCATGCCTTGACTGGGACCAACTTTGAACCGGGAGATTGGAAGGAAATGAATCCCTACGTGGCGGTGCGATGGATCAAGATACTCAATTAGAAACGGCGCTGTACTGTTTGTAGTAGTTGGTAGGAAGTAGAGAAAACAAGGATTCCATTCCATTTCAGTACTACAGCAATAGAAGTTGGTAGTGGAAGAAAGAGTATAGCATAACATAAGCATAATAACAACTATTATCAATCATCACACGAGGAGGTACAATATATAGTCCATTTCTAGAGGAAGCACCAACAGCATCAAGCTTATATAATTGATTGATTGATTCATTCATTCATTGGTTGCTACATAGGTATTCAGTTTAGGGACATTTACGACCATCCTGGAGAAAAATTCATAACTTCTTTCTTCTACTATTTAACTTTGTTGAATGAATCTTTCATCCCTTCTTTCCATCGTGGTAATAATATATATAGAAATCAAATGCGTGTGCGGTAATATGAAGAAAAAAAAGGCAAACAAAGAAGTAGTGCCCCCAGGGAAGTATCATCGACTTCTTGTCGTCGTACAATAATATATGAAAACTGATCTTATTCTGTCGCAGCACTCCCCGGGTGTTTAATGCGACTGGTCACAAAAACAAATCCCCGCCGAATAGTAGTCTACTAGTCTACCTTCTTTTCGGCTTCGTCCTTGCTCGGAGCTTCGATTACTTCCCCGTCATCTTCTTCCTCGTCATGGAGGTCTGGTGCTTCCAACTCTTGTGGCGGCTTTTTGGCGTCCTTCTTTTCCAATTTACTGCGAGACAAATCATCCACAAAATCCCAAACCACTGGGACGGCAATGTAAAACATGGCAAAGCCAATGATGGTCTCCAATGTATATTCCAAATAACTCCCGTTGGGGATCATCAACAAATCGACAATGTTGGCCGAAAAGTAGGGAACAAAGAGCAACAAAATCAGATAATAAAACATCATGCGGGTCAATATCTGAGCACAACAGACTCCCATAATGGCGACAAATTCTTCCTTGTCGATCCCACCCGACTTGTCGTGATCGGCTGCATCAAAGAGATTGTCACAGACGGACTTTTCGGGAGGCTATTATGGTGGTATTGTTTTGAATGTTCGGGGCAAAAGGAAAGAATATTGGTCAGAGGATCGTCGATGTAGATGTGTATATATATATATGCAATGGGGATCCAACAGCATTGGACACGGCACAGCTTTTTTGTTTTTGCTCCATCATCATCCAAGACTGCCATGATAATATATACAATATATATATATATATATTAAATTCACTCACATAACAGGCAGCTGCACCAGCAAATTTGGCCAGTTTCAGATGCACCAACAAGAGACCAGTATACAATTCTTCCTTGCTGACTTGTCCGTTCCCACCACGGTCCATGGATTTGAAGGTCGATTCTACCATCATCTGAAAGGGTTTGCTTTCGGTAAGCACATTTTTGGACTTTTCCAACAAGGCTTTGGTCTTGTTTATTTTCTTATTGCTGGCCTTCTTATTCATCTTCTCAGGATTGTTTGTGGTGACTGCTACTGAAAGTGCGAGGAGGATATATTAAGAACATAGTAGGATGATGCCATGGTGAAGCACGGTATCATAGTATAGGGGAAAAGTGAAATGCCAAAGGGGAATCCAATAGAGAGATCAGAAACAACGAGATGAGACTTGGGAACCGTGATAAACAAGATACAATCCTTCCTGACATTATTCTTCGCTTTCGCTTACCTGCTTTTGCGTCGCTCATGGTGAATGGAACCGAATGTCAGTGAAATCTTGTGCTTGAAAGTACTATAGAGGCAAATATTTTGAAGCTCAGAGAGCCAGATCCTATTGATTGTATGTCAAGGATATATCTTAACGTCTGCGTGATGATGAGAATAAGATGCGAACATTATTGTTGCGACACAAGAATTCTTCGGGGATATGACTCCGAATCCATTCGGGGGAGGAGGAGAACTCACATGAGGTGCGGTTATCGTAGTACCCTTATCGTCCTGGAACATGCATGTCATGTCACGAGTCACGAAACTACTGGCAGATATGCTATGATAGATACTAACTATTTTACATTAGAGCAACAGAATTACGGAACTGACCATTCCAAAACTTCGTCAAAGACTGGAGTTTCGAGGAGAAGAAGGCTGTTGGTGCCAGAATCTTCCCCAACCGCCTGAAGCAATTGAATTCGAGCAATTCCACTCGTCAATGCTGCATTGCCAATGGTCAGACTACAGGTAGCACCAGGTGGGACCATGATTATTTCTCGCTCCAAGTCTTGCAGATCGGCAGTACAAACCAAGGGGGTTCGGAGGAAAATGGAACCTTCACCATCGCATTGGACTGTGAGTGATGGCACACAGACATCCGCAACCCCTGGGATTGGAACAAGCTCCAACAAGATTGGAGTCATTTGGTCATCCCTACACTTCTGAAAGCCAATAATCTCTTCTGTACTGATTTCCGTGTAATAAAGTGATTCAATGTCCATACCGAATAACGTCTCCACTCCACCGACTCCGCAATTCGGTAGGGTACATGTGGCGCCACAACAGTCGCCACCGTCATAATCCGTCATGGCGTCGTTGAAAAAAACATCGCAAATTCCATTTTTTGAGGGGGGAGTCTCGCAAAAATCACCTGTTTCATTGTACTGACACTCGCACTTGCCAGTCAAAGAATTGTAGTATCCGGCATTACATGAAACTGGACTATTGACCGGACTATCCACTGGGCTGTCAGCTGGACTATCGACTGGACTATCGACTGGACTATTGGATTGTCCACCGGATTGCCCATTGGATGGTGTATCGACTGGACTACCGGCTGGACTATCCGATTGTCCATCCGATTGTCCATTGGATGGACTACCTGCTGGACTATCGGTTTGCCCAATAGATGGACTGCCGGCTGGATTATCGGATTGTCCGTCGGATGGGCTAATGTCTGGATTGTCAGATTGTCCATTGGATGGACTACTTGCTGGACTATCGGTTTGCCCAATGGATGGACTGCCGGCTGGAATATCGGATTGTCCATCGGATGGGCTAATGGCTGGATTGTCAGATTGTCCATTGGATGGACTACTTGCTGGATTATCAGATTGCCCATTGGATGGACTACCTGCTGGATTATCGGACTGTCCATTGGTTGGTGTATCGGATAGCCCATCGGACTGTCCATTGGTTGGTGTATCGGATAGCCCATCGGACTGTCCATTGGTTGGTGTATCGGATAGCCCATCGGATTGTCCATTCGAAAAGCCACGATCTGATTCCAGAATTTGCCCATCGCTGCAATCGTAAGCTTCCTTGATGTTCAGAGTGTCGACTGTGGTTTCCTCGCACAGACTTGAATACCAATCTCCTATTGTCAATACATCGTACGAGAGGGTTGACTCAGACGTAAATGTGAAATCCAAACATGGATCAACGCTACCAGGACTACCGTCTTCGGTAACTAGTAACACCCAGCCACCGCGGCCATCCTCCCTTTCGTCGCAATACATGATTTGACCACTCCGTCTCCCCGCTGTGTCTTGAACGTATTTTAGTCTTCGGTTGAAGAGATCGCGTTCCATTGCAACATAAGAGCCGCTCAATGCACTCGAGAGACCGCCTACCGAATCATCATTAATTTCGACAAGAATATTCTTGACTGTGTATCTACCTTCGATTTGGTCTCTTGAAAGAATGTAAAACATAATCAGCACAATCGCAAGGCAAGCATAGGTCACAATTCTATGAAGTGATTTCTTTAGAAATCGAACAAAGCAACCCTTATCATCAATCTTTTGCCGCACAAAATCACCGTGTTTGATATCAATAGTTATATTCTTCATTCCTCCACCAAAGTATCCTAACATTCCAAGCCTAAATACAAGGTCATCCAGATCTTTATCAATTTGTGAGATTACGGTTAAAACACAACATAATGGCAATCACAGCTGAGAAAAACTTACCAGATACAAATCCAAGACCAAGTACATTCAAAAGCACGTCAAAAACGGTTTCTGATTGAACGCATAGGATGAAAGCGCAACCGACATAGATCAATCCTTGACATATCCTGACAATCGAAGCCAATCTCCATTGAATGGAATTCATGTTGTAAAACCGAGGTGCTCCTCTATAACTTGCCGGCATTCCCAAAGAAAGGTTTTCCACACCACCGAGCAAGTCGCTTTGGCTAAATAGTGCAACCACTAATATCAATGCTTGGGCCCATCGGACGGGGGCTTCTACGTTCGGTGGAACATTTAGAGGATTGTCAACCGTTCGCGCTGTCTTTGTATTGTAAAGGTCGGCTTGATAAAAACCCAAGAGGCAAAGCAAGGTGAATTGGAACCCAAAGATAACAAGGAGTGAAAACCAAAAGGGCCTGGAAGTCCATTTTGCTGTTGCTAATACGCTGTACAAATCATTTGAAAGCTGGAAGACACCCACTTCAGGATCTGTATCAACTTCGTTGGATCCAATTTTCCGCCATGATGTTGTGTATTCTGGTCTAAGATGTTGAAGAACATTCTTGGTCTTGCTCCAGGATTGTTCCAAATGCAGAATTCGAGCATCTGCAGTGTTGCATCGCATCTCGAGATCTAGTACTCTTGTCATCATCGCTTTTGTCAAGACACTAGCATTCGCCTCAATAAGAGCGGTGCTGATGCCACCTTCCGCATTGTGTTGCTGATTTCGGTCAGCTGGAGCTGAACTCTCGATATCTTTCATTGGTATAGCGCGATGGAAACGGGAGGACAGGACACTTGTGACTCCTCGAAACGGCGAAAGACAGAAGGGTGTTGATTCGGAAGATATTTTGTAGGATGATGCGAGCGCCTCGACTTGTTTGAATCTGCAATCGAACAAGTCGAACATGTTGAACTTGTCGAACTTTAACTCATCGCATGCTTTTATTTTCCATCATCATCAACAATACAGGTAGTGCGCTGCTGAACGGAGAAACAACAATGAATAAAGCGAAATTTCATTCAAATATATCAATACACTATTGGAAATTGTTACGTTACCTCTTCGTTGCTCTTCTCGCGCCAAATGTCACTCGGGCTTGGCGCCATTCTACTTCAGCAAAGTCTTCGGCGAAAGACAATCTGAGGAACACTCCTTCAATCGGTCCTCTTCCCTTTCTTTTGTCTCCTCAAAGCAACTTTCGATGGAAAGCTTCTATTGATCCGAAAACAGGAATTGCCTCATCTGAAGAGACATCTAAATTTCAATGGAAACAAAACTATGAAACTTCTCCTGAATCCATGAGATCCGTGATTCGAGTATCACGTCAATTCATTTCGCACTATCCTCAATGGTTGGCAAGGCCCAAGGTTTCCTTTGGATTGTTGACAACAAAGACCGATTCAAAGAGTAACGAAACGACGCTTCGGCCCCGCTTCCTACCGAACCTACCACTTCTTACATTTGGACCAATGCAAGTAATTGGATCACCCAAGAAACCATGGTGTCAGTACAAGCTGCCCATCACAGGCGGGCTCTTGGCGCTTGGAAATGCCAAAAGGCCAAAGGACATGGGTTGTCTCTTCTTTGAAACCAACACAAGCCGAGCGAACCTACCCGACAAGGACTCCTGGCCCGAGCTTGCGTGTACTTGCACCTCGGAGATTGCTGGTGCCTATCGTCCATGGATTGCAGGAGGACCCAGTGCCAATTTCATTCGTCCATGGGCGTATCTGAGTTCTCAATCCATGGTCCACGCCTATGTGATGTGGCGGTTTCACAAAGCATGGAAACGAAGGCTGACTGTGATCAGTTGAAGTATTCGTCCAGCCATGAAACAAGGGCAAAGACTGCCACAATTTGAATTGAATCTATTGTTTACTATTGCAGCACGATTTCATGGTGACTTCTGTTTCTTGTTGCTCGAAACAACTGGTTGTCTCCCGTTGACGCCCCGCTCTGCTTTTGCAAGCTGGTGCAACGCACGGGTAGTCATCTCCCCAGATTGAGCTCTCCGCTGTGCAAGTCCTTGAATCACGTGTTCCCAAGGTTCCTTTTCGCCAAAGCTATTGGAGTCTGAAATTGTTGTAGGGAAAGCAGATGTGAGGATGTTACGATGAAAAGTCACTGAAGACAATCATACTCAAATACGGCACGTACTGTAGAAATTGTCAAGGTGAAAGCCGATTATCGATTTTGGAATCTCGCCTTTGAACTTTATTTCGTAGCGCTGCTCCACAGGTGCTTCGTCATTGTCTTCTTCGATGCTCAGAATAGGAGCATCTTCAAAGTGAGATTTGTGGTGCGCGTGGCTAATCGTCTCGGTGATCGAACTGACAAACATAGCGTTCATACCAGACGCAGTCAACTTCTTGAACTCCGATTCGAAATTCTCTCTACGTGTACAACGAGACAATAAAGGCAGTGAGCACAGGTAATCGCAAGGGACATGACAATTCAGCAGTACACATACCTGGCTGTCTTTGTCTTGCGGGGGTCGAACTTGTAACACTTGCCATTCACAAATCGCACAACAAAATTACCGTCGGCACGGCGCTGTATAATCTGCCCGCGAGTCAGTCCATTCCCATTGATATCCCATGCGACTCCAGCCCCATCTGATAGGTAGTCGATGCTCCTTTCTACGGCAGTGCTTTCTGCAAGTAGTTCGTCAAACTCATCGTCGCTAGCGCACTCCTCATCGACTTCCATTTTCATCCCGTTTTCGTCGACTACTTCCACCTCATTGGACAAGGCAATGTTCACATTTTCACCAGTCTGAACTCGCACAACCTTTGGAATCTTGAGCCTATTATTCCTTGTATTGTAAAGATTGATAATTGAATCGAGAAATGGTTGGATATGGCCCTGCAAAACAAAAAAGGGTTGGATCAATAGAATGCAAAAGAGTTGATAGATAAGTCACTGCGTAACCTACCGATAGGATCATCATGTTCGAATGGCGGCCTTTACATGAATGTTGGTAGTATTTGTCGTTGGAGATGTCAGCACACTCAAATTCTTTCTTCCATGCCTTCAAAGCCCTGTCGACTTTGGCCTTTGTATCACATGGTTTCCAATGCTTTTTGATGTGGATGTCGTCAAAAACATTAGACGCTTCTCGGAACCCTTTTCCAGCGTTTGGTCTGACCACGATTACACGACGGTCCAAAGATACGGACAGCTGATTAATGACAAGAAATACTTTTGGACTCTTCTTGTACACTTTTCGACCGTCAATGTAAAATCCAGTCTTGATTTTTGCCCGTCGGCCTGTTATCAGCCAGCCATCGTCTTCGTCATCCTTGTTGTCATGGAGCAGATCGCGATTCCGCATGGCGTCGTCGTACAATTCTTTGGCCAAGTCCACTGGGATGCCGCGATCAAGTCGCACATTGTAAAGCAAAATTGCCTCGTCGGGAGCATCCAGGCCTTTGAATCGAAAACATCTCGGCGCGCTATCGAATTGAATTTCTCGTCCTGAAAGATCCTTGATTCCAAGATCAAAATGTCCCTTTTGCTTTGCTTCTCTAATCACTGCTCGTAGTGTCTCATAGAACAAGGTTGCAACCACCTCTTGACATGAGAGTCTCCACCCAAGAACTCGATTGAAGAATCGAGGGATCAAGGACTCTCCCCCTTTTGTTCGGGTGTGTCGGGTCCGACGAAGATCTTTGGGTTCCAGACCGACATCATGGAACAGAATGTTGCAAATTAGTGGAAGCACAAAACCGTGTTCCTTCGAAACAGCAAGTTGTTCCTGGACCGGTTCAGCGTCGTCAGGATTGTATCCTTTGTCAGCAATTTCAGCACAGCTTTGGCCATTTGCCAATGCTTCTTCCCGCCAAGTAGCAAAGCTTCTTCCATTATTCGTTCGAAAAACACGGCTGATCATTTCAAAGTCTCTTTTGTCGCTTGGTGGAAGGTCACTATTTGCCCATGCAAAGCTAAGACACGTTGACCAATCATCGGGGCGGTCTTCTTCTCGATAAGATTTGATTTTTTCAAGGATGGCATCAAATCTAGCGAGTGCCAAAGCACATTCTTCTACTGGCAACTCTGGCATTTCAACGGTATGCTGAGACTCAAATTGACATGCCTCGATGGCACAGACCATAGTTGTAAGAGCTCGACTACCGTGTTCCTGTAGATAGTAACGATGAGATTGAGAAAAGAGTGGTCTCACAGTATCGCAACAAAGGAATGGATAAACAAGAAAGGAACTCACATTGTCTAGATCAAACTCTCCCAAGCCCAGCTTCTGCGCACTTCCAGTTGCTCGGCGGTCGCCTTGGGTAAGAGCACCCAAACTCTGAAGTCGTCGAGCAACTGCAGAAGCGAAACGTGCTTCACCACCGACCTTGGAGATTAGGAATTTGTAAATGGGGGCAGATTTTTGATTGGACCGATGCGATCGGCCTAATTGCTGGATGGCTTTGTCTGCCGACCAAGGCAACTCCAATGTAATATGGACGCGACGCCGTTGATTCTTCACGCGCTTGTCGGCCTGAAGCGAAACGCCAGTTGAGGCAGCCTCGGACAAAATAGCTACAAGTTTCCTTCCACGTTGAAAGTTCTGCCGTTCTTCGATATTGATCTCGTCCATTCGACCATTTTCCGGAAGTCGCTTCTCGAATACCTTCAAAGTCTTATCCTTCAGCAAGTGGTATCGTTCCACTTGTCTGGTTTTTCTGCCCGTCATTTCTGAGAACGAATGAGACAAGAGTTAGAATCGGCGTCGGATTGACCGTATCCAATGAACAAGAGTTTCGATGTACATACCAGCTACCTTGTCTGGTCCACCGAGTTCATTCAGAAGCCGATCTAGCGGGTTTGGTGGCAAGTCAAGCTCATCGACGGCTTCGAACCACCGCTTCAGTTGTTCACAGGCCCTGCGATAATTGGTCCGTCGCTTGGCGGCAGGAGAATTGGAAGTATACTCCAACGAAAGTTCGTCCCATTTCATTGGCTTGAATATTATTTCCTCGATTTCTTCATCCGACGAGAACAAATCATCAATATTTGAATCCATCCAACCCCGTTTGGCGGAATCTTGCTTTCGACCCTTCTTTGATCTTGCCTTCAGCTCCGGACTCTTGACTGCTTTGAACTCGGACTTTTTCGCATCCAGCTCCTCAATGTCATCCGAGGACTCGTCAAAAGCTTTTTGGGTTAGAAAGTCTGGAGGAACCACACCCTTCGGCTTGGGCGGAAGTGGAAATATATTCATGAGCACACGTCGAATGCCCTCCTTGCTGTCGCAAATGTAGTCCTCAAAGAATAGTTCGCCGTCTGCAGCCACGTTCGAACCAGCCTGCTTTGCAGCATCCTTCGTTCTCGCTTCACCAGTCGATTGAAGTCCAATGATGACACAGTTGCCATCCTCTAGAGCTGCTTTCGTTTCCGCAATAGCAGCATCCACCTGTGGGAAAATAGACACAGTCAGTCATGTAGTATCGAGAGTGTTCCACGGCCAAGTACATAAATAAAGTCTTACCTTGGAAGCAATGCAAAGACTTCGAAAGAATCGCTGATGGGCACCCCAGTATACACTTTTGATTATACCAGCTTTTCTCTGTCGTACTTCCTTGCGATACATGGAGGCTTGCACTTCCGCTTCTGTCATTTCCTCGTCTTCATCGTCACTATCGGCATAGAGCTGTTGTTTTTCCAGCATTTCCGCATCCAAAAAGGTGTCACCCTTTTCTTGCGCCCATTTGAGCTTCTTTTCATATTCAGCTCGATCCCTTCGTTGGGCCATTTCATTGACTAGGGCATCGTGCATTTCCCCCCACAGTTCTGCCGACTTGTCATAAAACTTTTCACTCTCAGCATTCATAATGTTCGAAATGGCTGCAAACTCGCAACCTTCGTAACTCAGAGTCCGAGCCACCATGGCACCCTTGGACTTGAGATGCATAGCATGGAGTTCCATGGCGCCTGTCGTGACAAAACAATTAGAACGTGAGAATCAGTTCAATTGAATTGAATTGAATTCAATTCAATTCAAATGCAACATACTAGATACAAATACGTACCACATCCCAGCCGCTGAATACTCTGCAAGAATTGATTGAATCCAGTTGGGTATTCCGTGCCATACCCCCATAGTCCCAATCGAGACATGAACCCCAACGAAAAGGGTTCCGACACGGCCGTCGCCGAACAATAGACCACTCGTGCTCGTGGCAAACAATTTTGCAATTCCACCACGGCCGCCGCCGCCTTGCTGCATTCCGCCGATCCCACATTGCAAGTTTTTCCATTGGCATCCAAGGTAATATTCTTGGCCTTGTGACATTCGTCTAGCAAAATCAAACCATCAAAGTCTTCTCCACACCATTCTTTCAATTGGTGCATTCTTGAAGTTCCTCTGGTATTCCCAATCAGGGCCTTGTAGGTGGAAAAGATGAGGCCTTCGTCATGAGGAATCTTGGATTGGGTAATATTCTTGAGTAAATGACAGTTCTTTTGGGCATAGGTTTCCAGTCCAAGGTCTCGCAAATCACGTTTGGCTATATACATACAATAGAATAGAATGGAATGGAATGGAAAAGGGTGAAGTATTAGAGTCTTCGATTCATTCATTCCAAGCGCAATATAATACAATTCATTTCAATAGTACTTGCCATCTTCATAAAGATCGTTGGATACCGACACCCAAATATGCTTGTTTCTCCCTCGCATGATATTCTCCATGACAAAGGCAGCCAGTGTCCGGCCTATTGCAATTGTGTGTGTGTGAGAGAGAAGAAAAAAAGAGGATGAGCACATTGAATAGTATCCATACTACTGATACGATACATTGGAAATGGAAACAATGTAGCCTACCTTTTCCCATTCCAGCACCATCGCCCAGCATAAATCCAGCGCGAAAGGATGGTGCTTCTTCTTTTGGTTTGGCGTCTGGTGATTTTCGTTTGGACCCAGCACGAGCGGGTGGTGGTGGTGGTTTCTGAGGAGTGGTCATTTTATTGGCAGTAGCAGCAGACGCGTTTGTTGCTTCCTTGGCAGGAGGAGCTTGATTCTCCAGGTCTTCTTCTGGTTCTGGTTTCTTGGGGAGTTCCATTTGATGACGCTGACATCCATACAAGACAGCCTCCAATTGCAAGTCCGAAAGTTTGCCTGCAAAAATTGAATGAAAGAGTGTTGGCGCCAGTGAACTACACAGTCAACAATGTCTTCGAAATCCAAACAAAGCAATACATTTCAAATCAACTTGATAGAATAGTACTTACCACCTGCATGACCATCGTTGGACAACAGCATTCAAATGCAATATACAACGTTAGAGGATTCCATTCCATTCCACTCAATTTCAAATCAAGATATTCAATACAATAGAATGAATCAATCGTTGCTTTGGTACTTACCTGCAATCACATCGGCTGGAATGGCCAAATTGTAAAGAATATCTGGAGGTTCCACGGCCGCAAGGGTAGAATTCTCCACCACTGGATCGGGATGCGGACTTCCCAGTTTGACCTTGACTGGTTTGTACTTCTTGTACGAGACGGCTTCCGCCGAATCGTCTTCCTCGTCGTGGTTCGCTTCCTTTTCCTTATTATTATTATTATTCTTATTATTAGGATTGGGCAATGGAGGAACGTCCAATCCCATTTGTTGTAGATAGGAATGCAAGGATGTGAGACCCTCCAAGGTTTCCAGAGAAGACATCATCGACGATGGCAATGGGATATTGGCCGCTGCCGCCACGGCTTGAATGTTGGCCGCAGTCGCTTGCAACAACGATGGGACATCGGGTGTCGCAGTTGTGGTGGTGGTTGTTGTCGATGCCATGTTGCGAAAACTGCGAGAGTCTTCCAACACTGCTGGAAGAAATGAAATGACGGTTGCAAATATGATAATAATAGGTCGGATTGATTGATTGATTCAAATTACAAATCGCACACAAGTTTTGATGCAACCATACACGGAAACGGTGCGGTAGGTATTTTTGTTTCCGCGCCCGTTTAATTTTGACGCGATGATGATCGTTATGATTGTGCATATATTCCGGGAAATACGCGGGAACCCGGCAGAATTCCGCAGGACCGGCGCTTTCCTTTTGAAACCTGTCAACCGTCGTTCAACGTTCTATATCCAATAAATCGAATCTGTCCACGGTATCGAACTCGACTCCTTCGATCTCACAGAAACAGAACGGTTTCTCCTTTCCAACTTGCCGGATAGATGCATACTCTACAGTAGTAGTGTGGGCCAACACGAAACAATGTTGGCATTGGACCAAAGGGTGGAAATAAGAAGAATCACTTCTTTATATTACTTTATGATTGCAGGTTGGCTTGACTTTTGTGGTTCAGTAGTCGCCATAGCTCACGCAAATCCAATGAAATGCTAGTACAACTTAGCGGTATTTTAATACCAGTACAGCAAACCAACTCAAACACAACAGTACTGTACAATTAATTACAATGCAATAGCAATAATAATGGTATTGAATATACAATGAACCTTAAATAGTAGTTTATATTGGGGAATTACAAAATTCGACCCTTGAAGAAGTTTTAGTATCCTCCTTCCATATTGTCAGTTCGCTCCCGGTCCGGAGCTCCTCCTTCGTGTCGGTTCCAGTCCCAGTCCAGACTCGAGTGGTTGTTGGTGTATCCCTGCGATCTAAACAAGTCACGGAACATGCCTCTTAGGTAGGCAATATTGGGCTTGGCCTCGAATTTGAGAGAGCGGCAGTAAGCCAAGTATTCCGCAAATTGCGAAGGGCATCCTTGGCACAAGGCAGGAATGGTGATGGATTGTTTCTTCTCCATAATGAGCTTGTATTTCTTGGTGGCAGACTTGGCCTTGAGTCCTTGCCATGGAAGTCCTCCCTTGAGGAAGTAAACCAAGACGTACCCGATGGACTCGAGATCATCTCTTCGAGATTGTTCCACTCCCAAGTGATTGTTAATGGAAGCATAACGAGGAGTACCAGTTAGAGATCTTCCTTCACGCTGAGGAATATGTTGAAGGGTACGAGGGTGGCGGTAACGCTTGGAAAGACCGAAATCAATGCAATAGATAAAGTTGCCGTTTCCTCTTCCACCATCGGTGACAAAGTTGGCAGGCTTGATGTCTCTGTGAATCAAGTGGCGAGAGTGCATCAACTCAACGCGTTCCAAAAGCTGATCAGCCACCATCAAGACAGTCTTGAGGGAGAAGCGACGTCCGCACTTGTTGAATTGATCCTCCAAGGAAGGGCCAAGAAGATCCATCACCATCAGGTTGTACGAGTCCTGGGTTCCAAAGTAATGAACCTTGGCGAATCCAGGAGCGTTTTGCAATTCACGGTACACCTTGTACTCGTGACGAAGCTGGGGGCAGCGAGCTCCATGCTTTTCGAACTTGACAGCGACCTATGATTGCATGGATGGATGGATTCGGATTGAAAAAAAAGACAGCAGCATGATAAGATCATTTTCAATGCAGTAGCGTTTTCGTGTAGAAATTGCGTAGAAATGTACCAGAAGAGACTTTTCCGCAACAACCGTAAACGACGGCAATGCAAAGCAAACCTACCTTTTCCCCATTGGCTCCAACACCAAGGTAAATATCACCGAAGGAACCTCCTCCCACACGCTTTGTGATGCGGTATTTCTACAATTTAAAGAATAAAAGGAATGTGATGTGATGTGATGTGAGTCAATTGATTTGAATTGAATTGACTTGTCGCTGGAAAATGACTCAAAGTCATCCCTTGTTTGTCAATCTAAACGTACAGAAATTGAAGACTGCATTTTCCCGTAATACAGATAAGACTATTGTTGTTTGTTTGTTTGTTCGTTTGTTTGTTTGCAGTGTGGATGCTCTGCTATGGAACAGAAAGAGCAAGCAACTAAAGACAACCCCGACAAGTCTTTTTTTTCCGGTTGTGATTCGGTGGTGCTCCGTAACGAATATACCGCAAGCAGCGGTCGCCGAATGCTGTGAAGCTTTGGGCCGGATCTGGCTGGGTTACGAATTGCCTGGCTTTTTTTTGGATTTCTACGGCACTGGCACGTATCAATTGTAGGAACGCAATGTCTTCAGCGAGGGTGCCGCGCAAGCCATTCAGCGATAATTTTCTCGCACACACGGCCCAACTTGAAACTTCTCTACATAATATGTGACTCGCTGTAAGTGTTCTCCTGCCAGCCGTGGTTTTGTGACACGTGCACGCTAATTTGGAGCCGGTTCCTTTTTGGTTCTCCACCAATGCATGAAGACACTAATCAAGTTCCATGAAGTTCCCGGCATTCATTCGGCACGTTTGAGCTTCGTTTGTGTTCTATTTTTGTATCTTCGGAATGTCATGACGTCACAACTAAAGACCGCTTACGCACTGACTCACGCACACCAAGAGCACAGTATTGTACCGGTATCTTCGTTCCAACGAGAAGGACCTGATAAGATACTATCTATATATAACTACTAGCCTAGCATCTCCCTATCCATATCCACAGCAATCACCACAACAAAACACCTCCTTACTTGCCCTTGGGGAACAAAACCTCCTCAAAGTGCTTCCACAAGATGGAGAACAAAATACCTTGCAGACCATTCGCCAAAATCTTGGTTTCCAAACCACGGAACATTAATCCTCGTACCCCAGACTCCGCAATGACATTCCGGACGACTTGTGGATACGAAATTTGTTCGGGATACGCTTGTTTGTACACCTTGCAGACGCGAATCGAGTTACTGCAAGTATCACTGACAGCGCTCGAACAGAATCCCAAAATGGCACGGCGTCCCAACTTTTTCAAGGCATCGTCTTGTTCTGGAATCTTTTCACTCAAAAAGTTATAAGTAAAGAACCATGGGTAATGACCGACAAAGGTGGCCGATGCAGCCGCCAAACTTCCATTGTACAAGGCCATGGGACCGGCAACTCGGACCTTGTCCACCACATTTGAGAATTTACCAGTCACTTGCATGGTAGTCTAGTTGTGATAGTAATGTTGATGTGAATGTTGTTTTTGGATGGATGGATGGATGGATGGATAGTGTTGAAAGAAACAAAAAAAGAAACAAAGAAAGAAAGCAATGAGTTGAATTGTCGTTGTCGTTGTCGTCGTTGTCATTTGTTCGAATATTATAGCCGTCGTCATTGATTGTCAAAAAGACTCCTTACCTTGACGGTATCCACAGGCATGAGGAAAATTCGAAAGATTGCTGCAGATGCACTGGCTGCCACAGTTTTGAATCCAACGTTTAGATCCTTGGTGGCATCCAGACTGTTCATCAAGGTCAAGACACCGGTATTGGCGGCCGTATCTCCAAAACGAGAAAGAGGCCCTTGGACCAAGGCGGGCAAGACTCCTCGGTAGAAACGAGGAATACCACCATCGGCATACAATGTTCGGAGGGCACCGGGGAAGGTTGTTCCGGTGCGGTATTGGTAGTTGATCTATATTATCGTACGTCATGACGATGATGAGAAATGAAAATAGCCGCATCCAATGACGAGAATTGGAAGAGAGGAGAAAGGAAGATTAGATGGATGAATGAATGCATGAACAGAATGCAAACGATGTAGCAACCGATGGCTGATACACCATCATCGTCATCATCATCATCATGCACTTGGTTGAACTCACGGTAGTCCTCATCCACATCAGACAGGCGACGTTCGCACCCATGGCCACAGCACCTGCGGTTCCTCCTCTCATGGCAGACTTGGCAGCCTTGTTCATGATTTCATTAAAGGTCGGTGGAGTTTCTTCTTTCTTGCTCATGATTGCTGTTGTTGTTGTTGATGATGATGATGCTTTTGTTGGTATTATTATTAGTATTGATACTAGGGGTAGACGCTGATGCTGATGCTGATGCTGTAGTCTACAGTAGTCGTCAACCAAAACAAAAATGTGAATTCAGACGTCACGTGTGTGCGTGTGTTGGAATGCAAAGGAAGCACATGCGCTTTGTCCAACCGCCCCCCTGTGCAGCTTACGTCACTCAGCCACTGTGTCTCATGCGACATTGACCAAGAGCATTGACTGACTCTTTCGACTAACATTGCTACTCCCGCCCGCCCGGCCAAACTGTTCACGTTCACCCAATGTGTCCGTGAGTCAGAAACAGCCCAAATATCTTAGAAGCTAGACCAAACATTTATGAACCCAGAACAATTACTTATGCTCTACCCAGCTCGCTTCGCTTTTATTTATCAAGCAGAAGTTTTCACGAGTCTTGCAATCATTTCGCTCCATGGTTCAAAAGACTCTAAATTTCGACCAGAAGGGTTTTTGAAACTTGGAAATGAATAAATGTTCGAAATTAGGGCGGACTTTGCTACCAAAATGGAGGAACTCCAAGTTCGGCAACTTGTAAAACCGCTTTTCTTCATTGTGTAATCATAACCTCCCACAAAACAAGATCCTTTCCATTCCATCCTTAAAAAATCCATGAATCAACATCACCATGGAAGTCTATTGTGCGTCCATAGAAAAGGCTGTGGAGAGTTGGAAGCTTATCCAATCGGATCCTAATTACTATGTTACCTTTGGAGAAGCCTTGTTTCGACGGTACGTTGAGTTAAGAGTACTCTTGGCTTCTTATCTGCTGCTGTGCTGACTCACCATCATCATCATCATCATCATCATCTTGTTGTTGCTATTGCTATTGCAGGATATTTGAAATTGCTCCTGCAGCTGTAAGCTTGTTTCACTTTGCTCCGGAAGGAAAGAGAAGTGAGACTGTGCAAGGTTTCGAATCCTCTCCCAAATTTCATCCCCATGCCAAGGCCGTCCTATTAATGCTGGAACAAGCCTTGATGCTCATGTTGGAGAGTCAGTTGTACGATCTTGCTGAAGCATTGTCCAGTCTTGGTTTGAGGCATCTTGTCTATGGTGTGGGAAAAGAGCATTTCAAAGTGCTGGAAACTGCCGTCTTGGATACTTTGGAACTCTTTTTACCGCATCCAGAATGGACCAAGTGTTTGCAAAAAGATTGGCAAGGCGTACTTCACTTTATCTGCAAAGGAATGATTGTAGGTGCCGACCAAGGTTTCTCCATCAAACGAAAGAAACGGGAACTTGGTGAATTGTCGGTGGCGACCCTTCGGCTCCAACCCACACCCAGCAACAGTAATGATACCAGTGCACCAATCATAATGTCGCCACCACCAGCATGTGGGAGCCGATTTGATCTCCACGTCATCAAGAGTCCCAAAGATCCACCCAAACCGGCAATGCGTTCCAGATTTGAAAATTTCTTTGAAGATTCCTTGCCACAAACTCCCAAGCGAAGCTCGATGCCCAAACGAAACAACTCGGATCCAGTGCTCAAGACGATGATACCGTCTGCTACACTGCGGTTGGGAAGAGGGACAAACAGTCCTGCTCCAACTGTTACTCCTAGTCCTAGTAGTAGTACTACCCAGCGAAACAATCAAAGACGACGACGACACACCTCCACCGATCTTCTTGGGGAAATGTCTGCCGTCCAGCAAAGGATTGATCGATTGTCCTTTCCGTCGGATCGATCATTATTGGACAAGTCCAGCAGTTCCACCACCAGCAATCCCACATCTTTGTTGTCCTTGCGAAACGAATTGTGCGACGACATTGGATTGGGTCCCACGGCCGGTCGTCCCATTCGAAAGCATAGGATGAGTCGCAGTCATCCCAAGAGGCCATTGTCGGTCCAAAAACACATTGACACGGCGCTACGGATACTCAATGAACAAGAACAGCAAGAAGAACCAATGACCCCCAACAACAACAACAACAACAACAAGACCAATGATAACAGCACCAGCATGACCTTTGAACAATTGGATGCTTCTACCAGCACCTGGCCAATTTTGGGTTTGGAGCAAGATCCACCTTCCACTTTGAACACTTCTTGGCCCATGCTGGGCTTGGAACAAGATGCGACTCCGGTCCTGCCAAGACGTCAAGTGTCCCCCAAACCAATCAAGAAGAAAAAGAAGAAGACAATAACGGCGAGACCGACTTTTGTGATTATCGACCCTTCCATTTCAGTCGATGATACAGAGTCGCCAATATTCGAGCCACTGGTTTGCTGAAGAAAAGAAAAATCTCAGCAACTGAGGATCTGTCAATCGATTAATTGATTTTGTTGCTCTCTCAATGCAGAGATAGCGACCCCCGCAAAGAAATGTTTGAGGATTCATTCATTTTGATTCATTCAATCAAAAGCTATGTCGATTGACCAGCTGTATATGCTGTTGATGTGCTACTCCTATCCTTTGTTTGCCGCTATTGCAGACCGAGACGGAATGTCGAATATACCTACTAGATATAAAATATAATAGATTCTTTGTCATATTGTTACTGATACATACTGCTCTACCTTTTTCTATTTGTTAAATTGAATCTAGTCCTAGTTTCTCGAAGCTTGAGACTATTCATAAAGGAATAAGTAAGTATAGACCGCAAAACATCATTCTTGTCATATGTTCAAGATGATTATGGTTGATCCGCCTCGTCCAGCAGAGTTTTCACTTGATCGCTCGTCCACTGACCCACCACATTATCCCTGCATCCACTCCAATAATGTGCCGCATGCGAGTGCAGGCACTTGATTCCTGATGGTTTCCGAATCCCTGCCACTCCTCTGCTGGGAGAAAAGGCAGCCTCCCATTGCCTGTTTTGAATGAATTTCCAATCGTCTTGGGTAATCAGGTCAAACCGCTCTTGACCATATTGCAAATGGGCTCGTTTCATGGAAGCTAATGCTTCAGATTCCTTTTGCAGTCGGTCTTGAAACTGCTTGATGCTTCCGCCGCTACCACCACCACCTTCTTCTGCTGTTGCTGTTGATATCAATTCCAGTTTGGAGATTAGTGCCCGAAAACGGGGATGCGTGACCCAATACATGGTCGGAAATGGTTCCACAAGAGGAGGATCCTTCTTCTTCTTCTTCTTCTTTTCTCGAGATTCGTTGTCGTTGATGTCATTATTCGTTTTGTCTCGAATGGTTGTTACATCCTCTCCTTCTTGCGTTTGGGGTCGACGTCGTTTTCGATGCGATCTGGTACTGTCGCTTTCATCTCGAAGGACCAAAGGATAGAGTTTCAAGGCCAATGGTTCATCTGCAATATTGCATAACGACGGAAAGTAATCCTTTACGCGAGCCACCACTTGTAATGCATTTCCAGGAAGGTATCCCAGTTGAGCAATGAGCTGGTGCTTGTCGCTTTCAGATAAAAGACAGAGATCCTTGACGGCAGGCCACTGATATCCTCTGTCTTGTGGAAGGATACAACTAGGATTTCCAATATCAGCGCCTGGTTCTATAGAAGATTCACAATCCAACGCCGGCGTATTTCCAATGGCCGCTTGAGCAGCTGCTGCCTCAATGGCTAGAACCTTTTGACGACGCCGTCTCGCATTGCGGCCCATGTTTTTGCGACTGTGATTCTTTGTAGTCGGCTTTGCTTCCTTTTGTTGCTCATCTTCAATATTGTCAACCTTTATTATGGTAGTGTTAGCGTCACCCACCATGATTTTTTCAGGTGCAGCAATACAATGCATATGGTGGCAACTGTGTAGTTGACAGTTGAAATGAAAATAGAAAACATCAACGTAAAATATTTTCAATAACTGGTAATGAGCCTCTATACGACCCGATGCGATTGACTATTCAATCCTCTTTACTTGCTGGTACAGTAGAATGGCCTTGTTTGGCTACTTGGTACCAGCTCAGCAATACCCTGACCAACATAAAATTACTAGTCCTAGCTTATCGCCTCTTTTGGATTATTGTTTTGAAAAAAGGAATGCAATCACATTCGGAATGACAACTGAAGCACCACTTCGAATACGGTAGGCTACTCTTTCATCCTTGTAGACTGTGACCCTCGCTCCATTTTCTGCTGATGCATCAATTGCCGATTTCATCTCATTTTCCCACAAAGATAACTCCAACAAACTCGTGGCTTCGACCTCCTCGTATCGTGACAGAGCCATCGATGCTTCTCGAAGCAAATATCGTCTTCGTTCCACAACGTGTTCAGCAACAATCGCATCAACCCTACTAGACATGTTCGCTGTCCATGCTTCCAACCCATCCCAACTCCGTATAGAGCCCACCATCCATCGATGAAGAGCCGCTTGCAATATGGTTTGTGAGTCTTCAGAAAGATGATAGCCTCGTTGATAGTAGTATTCCACTGCAGTCTTTCCGTTCAAATCCTTCCACCTAAGGACATTAGCCGGATAAGCATCTAATAAAACTTGCAAAAGATCAAGTCGAAAGTATGCAGCCGACAGCAGAACGTGAAATGGTGTCATACCGAAAGGATCAATCAATAAGTCATCGCCGGTAGTGTCTTGTGATGATTGCATTGACAACTCAATCTCCCGAGTGAGCTCACCCGTTGTTGTAATAGAGGCGTAGTAACATTTCTTGTGTATCGGAAAGTTCTTGAATCGATGCCTCAGGGCAAGCATGGTGTTTGTGTCGTCATATAGACTTTTCAGCGATGTGCAGCCTTCAAAGCTGTCGCTCACAGCTTCGGTAGTCGTTGCGGTTGGTATCGATGCGGAGGAAGGGAGACAAATGTTTACCAATGACCTGCATTCCAAAAAGGCCTCGTCATGTATCGTCACAGTGCTAGGGCCATCGCCCAATTCCACTGAAACCAACTTGGGACAACCTTCAAACGCCGAGCCGCCAATCAATTCTAACGAGCCCGGTAGCGCAACTGCTTGCAATTTCTTACACAAGTAAAATACTTTTTCTCCAACATATTTGAGACCATTCTGAACTTCATTACCTGCAAAGAATGGCAGCTCCTGAATGTCTCTTTTTCAACAATCTCAACAGTCGACGGAATATTGATTGTTTGCAACTTGTAACAGTTCCGAAAGGCTCCCCTTTCAATCACTCTCAACGCTCCTTCCTTGATGGTCACATCTTGTAAAGAAGCGCAGTATTGAAAGGCACCGCCGCCCAACATTTCAAGGGATTTCGGAGTATCCACTGTTTCCAAGTTGACACAGCGGCCAAACGCACTGCTCGCAATTGTTTTCAGTCCCTCCTGGAAGAACACTCTTGTTAAGAGTCTGCACTCATGAAAGGCGTCTTTATGAATGGTCATCAGACTAGAAGGGAATCTGACTTCGGCCAGTGACGAGCAATAGGCAAATGCCGACCCTCCAATGGTAGTCAACAAACCATCATCTTCATGAAAACGAACTTTTGTCAATGACTTGCAACTCGAGAAGGCAGAATCTAGAACAATCTTCACCGACGCAGGAATTTCGATTTCCAACAATCTTGTACAATCATAGAAAGCAGCACTTCCAATGACCTCGAGAGCGGAACCGTTGAAATGGACTCGTGTCAGGTGTTCGAACTTGCAACAAGCGGTGCGTGGAATCTCTTCAACGAGAGGATGAATCACTAACTCTTCCACGTCTTCTGGAATGGCTTCTCCTTCTTTCCCAAAGTAGTGATACGATGGCATCCCATTGCTTTTGAATGGCTTGTTATAATGTGCTAACAACTCTGACTCCATTCGCAGTAATATATCGCAAATATTTTGAGTTGCTGCCACGATGAGACTACGGAAGTACCACAAAACGAGAAGAAGAACAGATCGAATGAGTCGATTAACACTTTTACAGAAATGAAACATGGTGAGGCCCAGCGACGATACTGTATGACTTTGAACGATGACTTCCTTCCTTTTCTACATACTGTTTGGCCAGCAACTGAACGAATGAATGGTTACTTCTTTTTCTTACTTTTCTTTCCAAGGAGATAGTCGTTGTTAATGACTTTGAAGGATATTTTCTGATCCATCGAACGGAGTACCAAACCTTCACGAACGTTGCCGGACGACTCGTAAATGCCTTTGGACGCCTCCAACAGATTGCCAATGGACGACACGTGCTCTGTAACATTGGAGTTATCGCCCACACATTCCACTGGAACCATGGTCAAACCCAATTTGACACAGGTAGACACCAGTTCCGCAAAGGGTAGCTTCCGGCGAGTTTTCAAATCGTAAATGTCAAAGACAAAGAGTTTAATCCTGTCAAGGCCCAGTGGATTCTTGGCGATGCGGGGACCACAGACTTCTCCCTGAATGGCTAGATTTTTATTGTGCTCGCGAAGTTTGGCTTCCAAATTGGCATTCTTGGCAGCTTCCCAATACGGACACATGACTTTGGGAGAATCATCACCATAATTTGGATGGAAGCGTACGTGGTTCCGAGAACACACCCAAAATTCATCCGTCTTTGGATCGATCAGAAAGGTCCCAGACGATCCATCCAATTTGACCGTGGCATAGTATGGTGAATTGCTTTCTTTGAACGACTGCAGCATCCAAGGATTGGACTGGATCCGAGGCTCATCTGTTTTGGGAACGAGCTCTTTGGGAAAGGGTTTCCAACAGTTTCCTCCTGCCAGTTTGATCTTGTTCCTATCGCCAGTTGACTCTTCTGTCTCTTCATCATCATACTTTTCAATACCAAGTTTGGCAGTCATGTCATGGCCATCTTCCAGTTCTTCCTCAAGGTCTTTCATGAGTACTATCAAACCCTGCGAGAGCTGTCCCCGAATCATTGCCGTCTTGACATGAAACCAATCCTTTTTATTTTTTTGTCCTTCGATGCGGCGTTTGACGGCTTCCGGAAGCCATGTGGCCGTACTTGGCAATTTGGAATCAATTTCGCAATACACCACCTTGTCGCCTTTTTGTATCAATTCAGCCTTGGCAACGACCACCTGCCAACCCAGGATCGTGGCCAATTCCAACCGGTCGGCGTTGGGATGGGGCAGAATTTCCGAGACGGTCTGGACCGAGGCCAGTTTGCGGATGCGATCACAGGCATCTATACTTTCTTCTATCATATTATTCATTTTTAGTCTACAGTAGTATCGTACTGTTTGTTGTATGATAACGTTTGTTGTTGAATCGATGATTTGATGAGACAAGTATAATAGTTTTATTGCCACAATAAGGTCACCTACAGTCGCCACGCCCTCGCAAAATTCTGAAACATGCAGTATTATGCAATATCTCAATCTTATTATTGGCGGGCATGTTTGAAAAAAGGCCAAGGTGCACGTTTGGGTGAAAAGTCGAACTAGTCCACAATCGGATGGCGCGAAGAATGAAAGAACGAATCATCACGATATATCAACTTGCATGCTCCTTTAGTAAACAGAAACATTGCAAAAGTGACATTAGCATCACTGGACCGGTTTCGTGATCCGTCTAGTTGAAAGAAACAATTGGTACTATGCATCAACATGTGATAAGTCAGCCAGGTCAGAAACTGCGGCAGGAGGCAGTGGCTGGGTACTACTAGCTAGTAGTAACAAACTTCTATTGCAATGGATACAAAAACGAGAACGGAATCGACCGTATATTTTAGTGCAGACTACCGGCAGTAATTCAATGAGTTTGATCTGCGTGAGATGGTGGAGAGAGGAGAAAAAGTGCTAAAACAAAGAGAACACCAAGTGTACCTACTACCAAAAACCAAGACTGTGTACTGCTAGCTAGAGTAGGTAAACATTTTGAAGAATACAGAAAATGTATCTCTTCGCATTGCGGGAAGACATTTTAATTTGGTCCTTCCGCTGTGTCCAAAGTTGGTCAATTGTTCAGATTCCCCTTCCAGTTTTACGATTGTCACATGCTAAATGCGTAGCATTTGTATTCCAATTACCTACTACTAAAAGAATGTGTACCTCTAGTACTTACATTGAAGAATATAGAAAATGTGTCCCTTCGCACTGCTGGGAAAGACATTTCAATTTGTGCTTCCATTGTTTTGGCCGAAGTTTGTCATTTGTTCACCTTTCCCTTCCAGTTTTACGATTGTCACATGCTTGTTGGATGCTAAATGCGAAGCATTTGTATCTTCTACTAGGTTCTTTTTCTGCACAAACTACCTCCCACGAACCGCACAAAAACCATGGGACAGAACGTGATGTGTCGGGAACTGTTTCGAGGCCAACGAATAAACCAAAATTTATCAGTTTGCACAAATTTACCACGGAGGTTCGGATTTGGAGACGTTCACCAGTAATGGGATTCTAAGTTAGGGCCTCCTTTACTTAGTTAAAACGTTGGGACCGTTACGTTGACGTTAAAGTGTTCGCATCCACGCGAAAATTTAGATGAGAACCTACAAACGTGGGATTCCGCGGGACCGATTGGTTGGATGTGGCTCAATTCGTTTTGGCGATCTCCATTGGAATGTCTCACCTCCTTCTCACAAAAAAGCAACTACCTATCTATACCTGTACACACACATACACATCATGAACCCATTGCTTGAACAATTCTGCTCCTTTGACACAGCGGAAGACAATATCAAACCACTAAGGAAACCTTCTCGTTCCGTTTCGTTTGCAGACAATGTCAAAGTTTTTGATCACTGGCAGGCAGCTCACTTTTCGAAAGAAGAACTAGAAAACACATGGTACACTCGACAAGAGCTATTCGATATCCAGGTGGATTGTTATTACATTACGATGCGAATGGAAGAAGCCATGAATGGAAACCCTTCTGCCGCAGTAGACGACTGCACCAGAGGGTTGGAAGCCAAGACTCCCACAGGAGTCAAGAGACGCCACAGACTGCGCAAGGAGGTCAGCGGAACTGTCTTGGAAGTCCAAGAAGAATCAAGACGGTACCTTAGGAGAGGAGAGCACCCACACCCAGAACCGATTGCTCGGGCATGCAAATATCTTACCCGAGATTCTGAGGAGCGAGCTTACAAGATTGCTCTTCGGGACCACCAACAAGCGGTGGTTGCGGACGAGACTAAGGAAAACGCCCGCTACAATGTTGGCAAACTAAGAAGGACTCCATTCCATCTAGGACTAGAAATAGAACGAGAGCCTCTTGCATCAGTTCCAACCACACCCAAGAATGGTATCGCCGTGGAAGCCTAGAGAGGCAGGCAAAGGAATCATGGAACGATTTCAGGTTTCTTCTTTGGTGGAGTGCATCCGGAGTACACACCACCACACTTGTAAATACGAATCTCCAACTATGGCGGTTCACTACAACCCCAAATGTTATAAATAGACTATACAATAATAGAGCACACACACACACACATCAAAGATGTATTGTACTAGTTTTGAAATTTTGAAGGCTAATGCCGATATTTCTTCTCTCTTTTTTTTTCTTCTCGTTTTGAACTGCCGATCCCACGTGGCTGGTGGATTCGGAAAAGTCAATCGTGGAAGGCGCAAAAAGCGCAGTTTCGAAAAAAATGACTATTACACCGCGCAGCCTATTTTTTTAAACACTGTCTACTCGTAGTATTAAAAAATAGTACGTATTGTAGTATCATAATTTCCCCTACTATTCCTTTGAAATATGCCGTAGCAATATATGGACATGATTGATTTCTGGAAGTGACTTCAATGCTGGTGGGTTTTCCCATGCAATCATGTCGGGGTCCACAGGAGCAGTGGTGGTGGTCACGATGCTAGGAGTAGCACCGGTAGTAGAACTACTCCTGCCATCATCATCATCATCATGGTCCATTCCATCACCAGATTGTTGTTGATGTTGTTGTAGTAAGGATTTTTTGGCCCAGTCAATTTCCTCACTTGAAATCATAGAGTTGGTAGTACCATACTTCCACAAAACCCAATGTTCAATTCCAGGTGCACAATAGTAGGGGTAATCGTTCGGCACCAGTCGTAAAAGCGGTTGGGGTGGGTGTTCTTGGTCTTGACCATTGGCAGTCGATGCCGCCTGCTCCATCTCGTCTACAAAATACAATTGGGTTTCTTCATCGAACTGTTTGGGTAGATTGAATTTGCTATACAGAATGTAATCCTTGGTCGATTTCCATTCTCGTTTCAGTTTGACCAATGCCCGCTGATACTCTTGTTCTTGGGCCACGCTTCTGGATAGTTTGGCCAAGTTTTGTTCTTTGACAACAATTTGATCCAATTCGTCCCACGAAAACGGTGTGGATCGATACCCATATTTTCGAAATGGCAACTCGATATTCTCCTGGTGCTCGTCGGTGGAAAAGTTCAATTTCGATTCATCGTCTTTGTCGGCATCGCTACCATCTCCTCTTCCCCCTCCTCGTGATGCAAACAGACTTGATGGCGAGGGCTGTGATGATGCCGTGGAATAGGATGATCTTGATGTGAAAGACACCGATGAGACCCGCCGACGAGTCCAGCCTAATGGGGAATCAAAATAATTCCGTTGCTGCTGTTGATGAGGAAAATTCAGTGGCGGTCCAGCAGCATATGGTTGAGAGAATCGTCCTGTCGCCGTGGCAGGATGGCTTCTGCCATTAGTATTGCTATATTCATCCTCTATAGCAATCACTCGGTTACAATTATTGGCCAGCACTGTCGTCGTCGTCGTCGTCGTTGTGGCACATATAGTAGACGAGGAAAGGGACCTTGAAAGGACTGCACCGCTATTGACATTGGCAAGTATAGCTTGGAGAGCAATGAGAGATTGCAGCATGACTTATGATTGCACGTCGTATAATAACAACTGCGTACAAGTAGGGAATGAATAAATGAATGAATGAGTCTCGTTCAGCAGTTATTGTTGTCTGACTTTTGGGATTTTCCTTATATATTCAGAGGCAAAGGAAACAGAACAACAGCCTCAGAATGATAGAATGTGCATGCTCTCTATCGAACGCTTTTTTGTTGTTGTCTCGGTACTAGGGTGGGTGTTGACAGTGACAATGACAATTAAAACGATGCGATGTGATGATGATGGTCGATGATAATATACGACTGATCCGAATGAAACGTCATCGACCAAAACCAAAACGAAAACAAAAATTCGAAAACCTCATCATCATCATAAAATATTTCCACCAAAATCCAAACAGAATGGCAGCATTAGCATCAGTCATCAGGGTGGCGGCCATTTTCTGTCTGATATTGTTATCGAGTCTATCAATACATACGTGCAATGCTTCTGCCGTCTCTGCCACCAGTCGTAGAACCAAGGTCAATCAGCATGGTGGGATTATCATGAACAACAACAACAACAACAACAACAACAACAACAACAACATGATCAGACCATCATCATCATCCTTGCAATTATCTTCCTTTCGCAAGGCGTTCATCAGAGGAGGAGTGGCACGAAGTGTCGGACAAGCCATATTGTATCCAGTGGATGCCTTGAGGACGCTAGCTCAAACCCGAGACGGCAAAACCCTGGCCGATGTGGGTGTGAAAGCGCTCGTCCGAGGGTGTGTCACCACGAGCAGCTTTGCCTTGGCCATGGGCGCCTTGCAATTTTCCATCGTGGCTGCCTTGCGTGAAAAGGTGGGAACTCCCATTGCGGCAGCCTGTGGTGCTACGGCTTCCTGTTTGGTCAGCATTCCCCAAGAAGTCATCAAACAAAATTTGGTCACGGGCGTGTATCCCAGTTTTCGACAAGCCGTCCAATCAATTTTTACAGAGAAAGGAATATCCGGATTCTACAGTGCCTGGAGACCGACTGTCTTGCGGAATGTTCCCTTTGTCATGATTACCTTTACGACACAAGATTCCATTAAGCGACATCTACTTCAAAAACAACAAGACCATGATTCCAAAGCTTCTTCGTCATCACCACCATCCCTGTCCATGGCACAAAATATCGCCACAGGCATGGCCAGTGCACTAGTGGCGGGAACCATTACCAATCCAATCGATGTCATTAAAACGAGAATGATGACACAAGGGGCCAGTAGTGCCGTCCAATACAACAATGCCTTGGATTGTTTCGTCACCATACTCCAAAAGGAAGGTGGTCTTCCGACCTTGTACAAGGGATTTCCCCAACGGTCCGTGTACATGTGCGGATTGTGGGGGATTACGTTTGCGATTAATGAAACACTGAATCGGAAGGATAATTCCAATTGAGATGTATAGTATAGGACACCCTACAGTACTACTAGGGCGGGGGCAAACGAGGTTGGGAGACGACCGCAGCAATTGGTCAGACAACAAATGATCGACTAGAGAGGATACTGCTAGAGTAGCGTAGAATCAAGCTGCAGAGAAAACACAAGATGCAGGCGGGTGCTAGAGAACCTATATTGTTCTACTGTACCATAATAGAATGATAACTTGCAGCGGAGCACCATACGCCATAGATTCCTTCTGTAATAGTATGAATAATTATTGGGGTGTAAATATATAAGTCATGAATGAATGAATGAATCGACCGGTACGACCAAACCAGAAAAAATGTGTCATACGTCATACCCGTAGGTGGTACGCATAATAAATATCCAACGAACGCTACGATGCGTTGCCGGCATTTTTCTGTTTGACATCCAAGAATATAAGCTTCACCTGTTATACCACTGTATAATAAAATCAAAAAGGCTATCACATCACACTGTACAAGTACAACCTTTTTGCAAAGCATCAAAACAATAATTCCAGATGGGAGCCAATCGTAGTAATTACAGGACAATGTCTTCGGAGCCGCCGGATGGTGACGAACAAGCAGCAGTTCCGCGAAGTGGCACCACAGTCGTCGCAGAGACGGAATCACTACTCAATGATGTCAATGGTCATGCACGACCACTCCTGCCAGCATCATCCTCCAATCCCAATGTCGATGATGACGCTGATGCTGATGCTGATGCTAATTATGATGCTAATTATGATGCTCTACGAGCCATCCTTCCAACCTTGATCATTTCCATTCTTTTGGGACTTGTTTCAGGAACGCTGTATGGCTTTGGTCGATATGCCCGACGACTCAAGAAAGTATTGAATTTCACACAATCTCAAGTTCAGAGGCTTGGCATTTGCATGGATTGTGGGAACTACGTGGGTCATCCACTAACTGGCCTCATTTACGATCGCAAGGGACCCGTATTTTCTTGCTTGGTGGCAGCCGTCGTTGTCTTTGTCGGCTATTGGAGGATACGATGGACCATGCTGAATCATCATCACGAAGAAGAAGAACTTTCACCAGCAGACAGTTTTTGGCTGAACTTGGCCTTTTCTGGGGTCGGCTTTGGAAGTGGGCTGGGGTATATTTCTGGTCTAGGATCTACTACCAAGGCTCTACTCAAGTTATCATCCAATGGTGGGGGGTCTTCGTCGGAATACTTTGGAACTGGAATTGGTTTGGTGGCTGCCAGTTACGGATTAAGCTCGACACTTGTCGGACTTACGTATCATTACTTGCCGGGTCTGCCAAGCTTCTTTCTCTTCTGGGCCCTCATTGTTCCAACCGTTAATCTATCTGCGGCTACCATGTTTAGCAGACAGGCAAAGGAGGAAGAACAAGTGGAAGAAGAGGAGGAGGAGGAAATAGAAGAAGAATCATTAGCAGGTTCATTGCCGGAAAGTTCGATGCAACGTAACCTTTCCTTCTCGGACATGGTTCGTCTTTCCTCCCTGAATCTGGAGGACCCCCTGGTGGTGGAACTTGATGCTGTATCACATGCATCACATGGATCACATGCTGGTTCACATGCTGTATCGAATCCAAATAATTCGACGACTTTCGAAGAACTAGCTACTGGCGAGGATGCTCCTGGCATTGCGGCTTGGGATTCGTGGAAGAAGTTGGAATTTTGGCTCCTGTTTGCTTCCTTTTCTTGTGCCAGTGGGTGTGGTCTGCTCGTCATTAATAATCTCTCCACCATGGTCCAAAGTATGGGTGGATCCGACTCGTTGGCGGGAACACTAATCATTGTCCTTAGTATTTCCAACGTGTGTGGTCGGGTGCTCATGGGTATTTTGGGTGATTCGAGAACGTCTACGTCACCGTCGCTCCGTCGGATTTGGTTGTTACAAGGCGTCAATCTTACCATGGTAATAGCCATGATACTGGGATACATTGGTGGTCAACACAAAATTTGCCTTGCGATAATGGTGATAATGGTGGCTCTGGCATATGGAGGCTCTTGGGTTCTCATTGTGGCACTAGCTTCCAATCTGTTTGGACAGGATCACTTTGGAAAGGACTATGGTCTCTTGGCTCTTGGTCCAGCTCTTTCGGGTCTCATTTTTAACGAGGCGAGTGCCAGATGGTACGAGGAACATGCTCCCAACAATACATGCATTGGAAGGGAATGCTATCAAACCGCGTACTTGGCGGCTGGGGTAGTGGCTCTGATGGGGAATGTCGTAACTTCCATACTATACAAGACCCAACTACGAAAAGAGCACTAGCTAGTGGTAACAATAACGTAGCATTTTAGAGCAGCTGACAGCCAGTCGCAAACAACACGAGGAGTGAGACTCACTCGAACCATCTTGGCTATACATGTGATTCTTTTGAACAGATGGCAACACGACAGAAGAAATGTTGCGTCGGGGCTCCTATCCTGTGGCAAACATGTTGTACTATCTCTTGCGCTGCTTCGAGTATGACATTACACTCATTTGTTGAGTCCGTAGTAGTGATGCAGTGCTGGTGCGATGCGGGCTTTATCAATTTCTCCCGCGGCGGGTCAATATGATCCAAAGGACCCGTCTTAGATATCTCAGCACGCATTTTTCGAAAGTTGAACAGAAAAGTAAGTGGACCATGAATGATGCATCCTTCAGACAAACATACACCACAAATGCCGCAATACCGCTTGCGTGTCTTATTGTCTTGTCTTTCACACCCGGTACTCATACTTCTGAATGACAGCGCTGAATCACGCTGACTACAAGACAATGATGTCAAGCCTAACTGTTAGTGAAGATGAACAAATGACATTGAATGATCATCCGGATGATGAAACGCCGGACGATGCTTTGATCCCTTCATCCTCGTCATCGGAACCATTGTCTGCCAGTAATGATTTAGATGATCACGATGACACACTACGATCCGTCCTCCCAACGTTGATCATTTCCATTCTCTTGGGTCTGGTTTCAGGCACTGCCTATGGGTTTGGACGATATGCCAGAACCCTCAAGGATATTCTTGGTTTGTCACAGTCACAAGTCCAAACGCTTGGCATTTTCATGGATTGTGGAAACTATGTTGGTCATCCATTGGTAGGCATAATATACGATCGAAAGGGCCCTGTGGTCTCTTGCTTGCTGGGAGCTCTGATTGCATTTGTCAGCTACTGGGAAATTCGTTGGACCATTTTGAATCATGATGAACAAGACCTTTCTCATGCTGGCATCCTTTGGCTCAAGTTGGCCTTCTTTGGAGTAGGCTTTAGTAGTGGACTTGCATACATATCTGGTCTTGGTACGACTACAAAGGCTCTACTAAAACTGACCGGGCCATCTTCGCGGTATTTTGGTACTGTTATTGGACTGGTGGCCGCTAGTGCTGGCCTCAGCTCGACACTTGTCGGGATTTCTTATCAGCATTCGCCCAACCTCCAAGGTTTCTTTCTATTTTGGGCTCTCATAGTACCAGTTGTCAATATTTTTGGGGCCATCATGTTCCAAATACAGGAATATAATAATGCACCCATTGAACGATTGACGGAATCAGACGGACCAATAAGGGAAGTCGGACCCCTTCTTTGTTCACCAGCGTTGGAGAGTGCCGAAGCGCAGGAATCCCAGCAAGTAAAGATAGATGAAGAAGTACTACTCAACGAGGATAACAATGTTTTGATGGAAGCTTGGGATTCGTGGCAGAAATTGGAGTTTTGGCTCCTGTTTGCTTCGTTTTCTTGTGCCAGCGGATGTGGTCTACTTGTCATCAACAATTTATCGACCATGGTCCAAAGTATGGGTGGCTCTGACTCGTTGGCTGGCACTCTTGTCATTGTCTTGAGTCTTTCCAACGTGGGTGGGAGACTCCTCATGGGAATGCTTGGTGATGCCGCAACGCCATCCAACTCACCAGTTTTGCCTCGGATTCGATTGTTGCAAGGTGTGAATCTGACAATGGCGTTGGCCATGTTCCTAGCATTTATTTTCGGCCAGCAGCAAGTTTGCTTGATTTTATTTGTTGTAATTGTCGCATTGGCATATGGAAGTGCTTGGGTGCTCATTGTGGCACTAACGCCGAAGCTATTTGCCAAGGAGCACTTTGGAAAGAGCTATGGTCTCTTGGCTCTCGGCCCAGCGATGTCGGGGTTGATTTTTAACCAGGCCAGTGCCAAGTGGTACGATCAGCATGCGTCCAACAATACATGCATCGGAAGAGAATGTTATGGAACGTCATACGCAGGATCAATGGCAGTGGCTCTGATAGGTGTCATTATTACTGGCATCCTGCACAAGTTGCAGCGACGGAAAGAAGGACAGTAATACCTTATTAAAACATAGTATTCATAATAGAATTATAATATATAGCCGATTCAATCGTCATTCCGATGTGAACCTGCTCACAAGTCTCGAGCGGAGGACATGTTGTCGTTTCGCCGTTTTCGTTTCTGGGATCGGCTTAAGCTTTCACTTCGACGACTATCAGCATTGCGGATGGAAGACACAGGCGAATTGTGGTCGGCACCACGAATGGCATGTCGGGCCTGATTGCGGTCACCATAATTTCTATCAGTACGTTTGGGTGGTCTTCTTCCCGGCCTTTGTTGCTCGTAATTCCCATTCGAAGGAACAGGACTGCCACTCGGTGTGTGTTTCGGCTGATCGGGTGATTCATGGGTACCCGGTGTACAGTCGCACAGTTTCAATGCCCCAACCAAGTGCTCCATTTGGTCATCCATATGGTCTAGTTCGTCCAAGGTTGACAGGAGTTCTTGTTCCAGTCGCTGAGCAAATTGGGCGGTGGAAAGAAATCTACCACCAGTCTCATCGTTATGGTACCGCTGAGATTCACAAGGTGGCACCATCATGGGCATGGTAAATCCGTAGTTGGCCATAAAAACATCTTGGCAGGCATCAACATACCAGAAGGTGATTTCTTGTCCCTGAGCAATGGGACCGGTCGCAACAATATCAAAGGTATGAGTGGTAGCATTGTACACTCCGCGGGTACTGGGCGGTCCAAAGTTGAGCAAGTCGGCCAGTGGTGCTAGAAATGAATTTCCCACAGCCCATTCATCACTACCACCATTGTGATGCGATTCTTCTTCCGCACTTCGTCTTTCTTCTTCATCCCGTCTGTGTTCCATTTCCTGTTGCAAATCCATCCATTCATCGGTTGGCATGGATGCGGGTGGAGATCCATTCTCATCGATTTGATCTTCTGAATCGGTCTTTGCAGTATCGCCTTCGCTAGTCGGTTTGGCTTCATCGGGAATGGGTAAATGCCAGTGCCGTGAGTTGACCAATGCGAACGCCCAATGGAAGCGTTCCAGGGAAAACAACCACTCTTCGTCCCGATAGTGTTCCTTTTGTAGTCCATCGTCACCGTCAGCACTTGAAAACTCTTCTTCGTCATCCTCGTATGTAGTATAAGTGTCCTGATAGTTTCCAAAAATTTGTGGGTGCTCTTCAATTAGGGGTACCATGATCCTTTGGTAGAGTTCCTTCACATCCTTTTGGATGGCCTTGGCGACCTTACGAACGCCAACTGTTGTCGATCGTCGAAGTGTCTTTGAATCCCACAAGTGTGGAATGAGGTCATGGACATTGATATCATCAAGAAGTTGCAAATAGGCTCCATGAGGCGACTCTCCCTGTTCTTCATCAGCATGTCGCCATAGTTCAAAATTATACAAAAGAGCAACAGCAAGTAATGGGATCTCATCGGATGGAGCATCCCAAGAATGTATCAAACGAGCCTCAAATCCCAAGACTTCGGATAGAATAGGATCATTGTCGATGCGATTGGAGACGGTCCAAAGGGCGGCATGCGGTATTTGAAGAATAATCTCACCTGCCTCGATATCTCGAGTCGCTGCCAGCCCCCTAGTTGACACTGGAGGATAATCTAGAACGCTCAAGTATTTATCGTCATCGTCGGCATCATCGTCGTCGCCATTGTCTTCCCAAGATCCATTATCTCGGTCATGATTAGAATCGTTTCCCATTCCGTTCTGAATTTCAGAATCATCTGCTGCCATCCCATTATCTTTGTTCCTGTCACCTTGATGGCCAGTCTCGAATGCTTCGCCATTTTGGCTATCGCTTGGTTCCCAGTAATCTAGCCCCCCTCTTCCTTCACCAATCTGATGGTACGAGTTGTAGTATCTTGTATCCTCGTCATAGAAAACATCAACTTTGTCCTTCATCGCCTCAACGTAATTGCTGTACTGAAATTCCTTCAGTTCCACCAAGGATGTATCTACTTTCCACACTCTTCGTATCCATTGGAAGAAGAAAGCAGAGGTTCTTTCATCGAGATGACCATGGCCATCATTTGTCATGCTCGAAGGCATGCTTCTCATATGGTCACCACCACCACTCTCATTCCTGTTTCCTTGTCTCTGTTTGGTTCCAGGGTGACGCTGTCGAATGGTGCGTGCTTGACAAGTCAATGTACTTGGGTAAACCAGAGAACAACATACGAAAATAGTGACAAATAAGGACGCTGCTGATGTGCAAGGCAATGCCTGACCTTGCGGGAATCGACGTCGTCCATTGCGAATACCTGCTCTCTCGTAATCTCTTCGTCTTCTCCATTTGTAACTGCTTTGATAGTTTCGTATTATCCTTGAATTGTCTCCATTCTTGACAGTGACACATTCCATTATTTCAGCGCTCTCCATTCTAGCATAAACAGATCTTGCCAAAGACTACTACTTTCGGCAAGTCTGATGTCTGCTAGGCCGTGAAAAACAAGACAATGCTTGATGGATCTCTTACTCGTGGCGCTCTGGCTTTTTCTCGCTTTCTGACAGCACCTTTGCTCCTCTCCTTTTATGCTTGAATAAGTTGCTGTAAAGTCAAGAGGGCGATGCTGGTAGAAAGCAAGAGAATAAGCAAAAAAAAGAAACACTAACAATAAAACCAAAGACGTGATCGTGTCAAGTCCCGCAGTTATTTCGTCTCCTTGATGACTGGAAAATGGGTCACACGAGTCGGCCGATGCCTCATTGTTTATCTAATCTGAAGATGATGATTGATTGGTAAAGTAACAGTATATATATTGGTTTGCATAGAGTATTATGCTATACCATTGTAGGAACGGTTGTGATCTTATCAGAGGAGTGTAATGAAAACATTGCGGATCGTCCCAGGTGGATCGTCCCAAAACCCGAACACATCGTCCCAGACGGATTTCAGATTGTCCCCAAGCTCTAACGGAGCCCCACAATCGAATTAGATCCATAATATCATATCCAGTAGACGAATTCACGAGTATCAGGATTCCAAACACATTCCATCACATTTGAAAGCACGACATCTAAACCGCATCGCAATCGGTAGCTTGCTCGATCCATCAAGAGAGAAAAGTATTGTTTTTGTCCTGATGACAAAGAATGAAATTTTTGTTGTTGGTTATTCATGGCCATCTTCCACAATGCTAGCTCAAGGATAGACGTTGCTTCCATTTCTCTGTAGTATTCCAGTCTGTCCAGTATTTCATCCAGTTGTTCCCGTCGCATCTTGATATCACAATCCGCCGGCAACATTTTGGATTCCACACGATGAAGCAAGTCCAATTTCCATTCTGTTAGACCCCAACCATTCGTCCAGCAACCAGTAATCGCTTTCTGCAGCGCAGTCTGGATTAATGGTATCGCCTTGTTGGACCGATGCATAATGAGATAATCCATCATGGTCTTGCCGTGACAATCACGGACACACATGATATTTCGATGATATCGGTCCAAAACAAGTTCAAACATGTCCAACGGAAGCTTGCTGGAAGTCGCAACAATGTGACACGGGGTCATGCCATATGCGTCCACCAGTGTCTCTCGAAGGGTGCTAGTGGTAGTGGTAGTAGTAGTAGTAGAATCACCACCATGACTATCATCCAATGCCTGTCGCATGTCCTCAAGTGTTGAATGGGATGCGTGATAGCAAACTTTGTGCACTGGTAACTCATGAAACCTGTCGTGCAATTTATTTGGTACTGCATTATGGTCATTGCCATTTTCGCCATGCTCCAAGGATTTCTGCAGTGGTGGCGGCGGCGGTGGCAATTGCAGCCTTTCACAGTCGGAAAACGCATGTGCCATGGATCCGTCCATCGACGATGGAATCGAAACAGTGACCAGAGACTGACATTGCGAAAAGCAAGGGGGCCGAAACGTCATGATTAGCTCGGCATTTGTTGGAATCTCGACTTCCAAAAGATTGAGACAGCAATGAAATGCCCTCCCAATCATGTTGAGTGACCGTGGAAAGCTAATGGCCGAGAGTGAATCGCAAAAGCTAAACGCAGAGTCCCCAATAATTTCGAGGCCTTCCTTTAAGTCAACATCTGTCAAGGAGAAACACCCTTGAAAGGTTCCCGTTTCAATTCCTCGGATTGAGGAAGGCACCGAGACACTTTGCAACGACTGACATCCCGAAAAGGCAAATCCTCCTAGCGATTGGAGTCCATTTGGGAGCTGAGTATCTTGCATGGCCCGGCAATCGGCAAAGGCTGCTTCGTCAATCGTGACCATGGTAGAAAGAAAGCAAATGTTCTCCAAGACGGAACAATGCGCAAAGGAACGAAAGCCAATGGCTTTTATCATTGTTTCGGAAAGGTTGATTTCCACCAATTGAGTAAAATACTCAAAGGCTCGATTTCCAATCGTTTCCACAGTGCTTGGTAAAGAAATGTGTTCGAGTGCGAGGCAACGTTCCAATAGATTGTCGCTAATTTCCCGTAAGCCGTGTGGAAGATGGATCGCCCACAACGAGTTGCACCAAGCAAAGGCTCCACTCTTCAGCCTCTCGACTGCGGAAGGAATCTTGATTTGAGCAAGTCCCGCACAGCTGGCAAAGGCCCGCACGCCAATTTCTTGCAGTCGGCCATCTTCTTCTTCTTCGAAACACAGGGTAGTCATCAAATGGCAACCCGCAAAGGCTCGATCCCCAATGATTTCCACCGTGTTTGGGATATTCATCAAAGTCAAACCAGCACCTTCAAAGGCACCATTGCCAATTTCCAAAAGTCCATGGTTCAGTGTAATACTCGCCAACGACCGGCACCAGGCAAAGCACGAATCTTGTAGTTTTGTCAAGGTTGGGGGCAACCCAGAAATGGAAGTCAAGGCGGTACAATTGTCAAAGGCGCGCGTGCCAATGGTATGCAATGCTAAGGAATGATGAAATTGTACATTGATCAAAGACGTGCAGTTTCGAAAGGCAGACTCTTGTAAAGTTGTGGTTTGCTGGTCGTCGTTTTTGTTTTTGTTTTTGCTTTTGCTCATTGATTCATCGTCATCGTCATTGTCATCGTTCTCGTTCTCTGCAATCATCTTAGCGACAACAATGAGGGCTCGAGTGACATTTTGTGGCATGCCGGCGGATCTTGATTGTTGTCCATCAACGCTGTATATAAAAGTAGTTGGCTCTTCTGCCTCTTCTTTATCTCGAATAGAAGACGAAGACTTGTTCATGACATATGATGATGATGATGATGATAAATGACAATGGATACGCAATTTGTTGTAATGTTTGATGGGTGGAAGGATTGACGGACGAGACAGATTGATCGAACGGAAGACCATACCAGAACGCAGAAATGAGACTTGTTCGACCAACATTGGATTTTTGAACCAATAATCCATCCGTCTTGCTCACGATACCTGACCAGCAGGCGCAACCTACCCGGATATAGATTATTTGAACTTGCCTGCCTCGGAGTTGGCTTCCGTTCGATCCAATTTGACTTGGACAACTAGCAATAGTAGAACGCGTGTCGGATGAACTGAAAAAACGTGAGTACTTGCCACGTGAAAGAACACCGTTCCAAAAATGCCGTTGGACGCATGCAATAGCTAAATTTTTCTACCACGATTTCAAATGGTGGCGACGCGATCCTAGCGATCCGTTTTTACATAGACAAACTATTGGATTCAACGCGGGTGAAAAATATTTGCGCTGTATTCCATCAAGTCACATTTCTTTCTCGGAAATTTTGGGTTGTGGATAGAGTGTCACATTCCTAAACACAAGAGAGGTTCGTTCAGTGAAATAATATTCATTGCATCCCACCTCCACTGATCCATCTACCGTATATCATTGACAAGACAAGACAAAAGATGCCCAATCGTCCTCAGCAAATGCAAGATCAATCAATGACTCGACAAGAAACACGTGAAGACGAAACGTTGTTGATGGAAGAAGAACAAGAATACCAAGAGAACATCCACAAGATTAGCAGTATGGAAGCGATGAATGATGGTATCGACAACGACAATGATGATAATGAAGATCCTTCTTCCATCTTTGTTCCTCCCATTCATCATGTCTCTGAAGAATCAAGACAACAGCATGAATCTCCAGTATTGCTATCGGCAAGATTTGATTCCATGCTGGAAGATTATGAGAACAATGAGGAATCTTGCAGGGAACAATCTTCTCGCAGCATTGCCCTCATGTACAGCACTCTAAGATCTCCTGAAGAAGAGCGACGCTCCAGTCCTGTTTCTACCAACTTTTTACGAAGTGAAGCTGAATTGCCATCCAATTTGCCTCCTTCTTTTCCTCCCTTTTTGAGTGACGCTGCGGCTTCCAATGCAGCCTTATCCCCCTCCTTAGTTCCGTCACCACTCAACGGTACCGGCAGTGCTAGACGAGACAAGCCAACCTTGTTGAGAAGTTTGGCCTGGAGTCAAGATTCGCAAGAAGAACGCCGAATTACGAAACGAAGAAAAGAAGAACCCATGGTGATGTTTACTACTGATACTAGTACTAATGATGATGATGATAATGATGATGGTCCTTCTACACCAGAACCACAGCAGCATCATCGACGAACGAATAGCAGTAGTCCAACCATGGTACACTGGGAAGATGAAGTTATGGAATTGTCGGATTTTGTGCACAAGGCCATTCAACACCAACAGGGGACACCGACTCATGGATAGTAAAAGTGATAATGAATAATATCCAAGCCAAACGATTTTGAAAGAAGGAGTGTGGAGTAGAAGCTAGTTAGTACCAATAGAAAAAGAGATAAGGGGTATATATTAGATCTATTAATTTTGCATGTATTAACATCACATTCCTGGTGAACTGATGATGACCAAGATACCAGATTCAAGATGTCAAAGGAGGAGATTAAAGACGGCAACTTGCCTACTTTTTGGTCGTTTGAAAAATCCCCGCCAACATCTTCCGGATTTTCTCATATTGCACACGTGTACAATATGGTATCGTCCGCCATACCGGTACTGTAGGTACTAGCACCGGTACGCACGATTGAAAATCCAACTGTCAACATCAAACGAGTCCAAACTGAAACATTGACAGCTTCCGTCCGTCCGCCGTAGGATTTTGGGACCTTGTTTCAAACTCCCAAAGCCCATCACCCCAAAATATTGTAAAATCCATCTGACAAAAAAAATAGGAAGGTGTGGCAATGAACATTACCAGAAGATATCTTGGCACCCGATCATTTTTCTTCTTTTTAGTCATATTCTCAACGACATTCTCCTCCTCCTTTGGATTTATTGTCGCTTCCAATCCAAGAAGCAATCGTATCAGCAACAACAACAAGCATCACCGAGGCGAGACTCGAGGAAGCATTATCACAATGTTTGCTTGTACTCATCAGTTCGGTCCCCTATCCAGAATGGCTACGCGTCACTGCGGTAGAAAGGTTCCATTCTCGGCCATTAGTGCCAGTCGCTCATGTGGCTATGGCACAACCACCACAAGTCTCCAAATGGCCAGCAAAAAGAACAAGAATGCTCCTGACAAATTGTTTCGGGCGGACCGTGTCTTGGCCAATCGAGGAGTTGGATCGAGGTCGGAATGTTTTGAGTTGCTGAAACAAAAACGTATCTTTCAAAAGATTGACTCCAGTATGCAACGGGTCAAGGGGCCCTCGGAAAAATTATCCATGACGGTAAGTTGATGCTTTTGTATTTGTGGTGTAGCTACTCTACCGTTTTGATGATGACGATGAGATGATGGTGATGTGTGAGAGAATGCAGTATACTGACTCTTTGCTTTGCTTCATTTTGTTCATATATCGTTTTATGTTACTTCTACTCTACTACGAAAGGCATCCCTCTTTATTGACGGCAAGAATGAAGTACCAAAACCACTCCCACTATTACGCGTGTATCACAAACCAAAGTGGGTATTGAGTGTCATGAACGACAACAAGGGACGACCCACCGTGGGTGACTTGGACTTCTTGGGTGGCAGCGCCAATGGTAAATCCAAAATGCATCCCGTGGGACGATTGGATTATGATACCTCGGGACTGCTCTTGTTCAGTTCGGATGGCAAATTGACCCAACAACTCTTGCACCCCAATCATGAGATTGAAAAGGAATATGTTGCCCTGGTGGTGGGCCAAGTGGATGCGGATGTTTTAAAGGAAAAATTGGCGCAAGGCGTCACGACGAGCATGGGTGCCTTCCCAGCAGACTTGTTGGAGGCAAAGTCAATACCCAAAGAAGAAGTCAAAGAAACGATAGATGGGATTCTCAAGAACTTGCCCGAGGAATACGATATGGAACGATTGGAAGAAAAGGGCTATCTATTCTTCAAGGATGCCACAGAGTTGTCGGAGGTCCGGCTAGTAGTGCGGGAAGGCAAACATCGCATGGTGCGAAGGATATTGGCCAACTCGGGGTATCCAGTGATTGGATTGAAACGAGAACGATTGGGAGATGTCTTGTTGGGGGATTTGCCAGCGGGGGAGTATCGAGAGTTATCAGGTGCCGAAGAAAAGTGGGCCAACAAAGTCGCTAAACTGTGATTGCGTCGATTGGTTGATGGCTTCATTTTAAAAATCTTTCATTCGTTCCAAAAAGGCTTCCACAATACATGCAACAGGATTGATGTCTACATTCTTGACTCGCCGCTTTGATTAGATCTTTCCAATTGGCAGTCGAAGTTTTGAAACGATTTCGCCTTGATTCGTTGTTTCGCTCGCTTTGACGAAAGAACAGTGCTACAGTACATGAATCTGGAGTGTATGATAGTAGTAGTTGTTGTATGGCATCGGCGTTTTGCGAAAAGGGACAGGAGGGTTCATGATTCAAAGATGTTGTACATTAGTAGAATTTAAGAAAAATATACCCCGTTCGCAATCATGATTGCTCTGATACCCTCTATATTTTGATGTATGGATAATGCTGTCATCCTTCATCAAGCATCTCCCATCTATAATTCTAGATAATCTCGGCGGAAGAATGACTAGCTGTTCTCGAAACCACGATTGGGGGATCTTGTGGTCCTCCATCGGGTGCGACAGCGTATCGATCGGCGCCCTCGTCTTCGAAGTCATCAGTGTCACAGATCTGCAGATCATCACTTCCTTCCTTCTTTCGTTTGAACATTTTCGAAAAGCTGCTCTTCTTCTTTGAAGGAGATCTGCTTCGCGATGACAAAAGCATGCGGCCTAGTGGAGAACCTCTACTCTCGATCGCTGGGGGATCAGCAGCTCTAGGGGATTCTGGACTAGGTGCTGTTCCAAGCTTTGATTGATTCACGGACATGGGGTCTGGTCTAGTAGAAAAAGAAGAAGAGGATCGCGAGCTTCTTTCGGACTTTTCTTGCGTCGACTTGGACTTCTTCTTGGACCTCTTCTTTCGTGAAAAAAACTTCTTTTGAATGGCAAGAATCTTGGCACGTCTCTTGGGATCATTCATACCAGCAAAAAGGTGAATGATAAGACCAGCAAGGATGAAAGAGAGGGTGCCAACAAGCATCATTGTCTTGGCTCTTCTCATCCTTCTATTGTACGTCTTGATTGGGTCCTTGCGATACGCCTTCTCGATTCCGTTGTTATAGTTGGAAATGTACTTCTTGATCTTTCCATATGGGTCGGGACAGTTTCCATCAGGGGACCAATAGTTCATGTAATTGCAACTGTTACTGGACTTGAGGAGTGTCAAAGCGGATGAAGAACCACCATAGGTGTCGTCGTCAGAGTAGCCTGAGTTGGAATTGTATATCTCGGTACATTGGACATTCTTCATGCCTTGATTGAGGTATGTAAGTGTATCCGAAACACCAGAGAAGTACGCAGGGTTACATTGATCGGTGCTGTAGGTATGAAGTGCGAATCCATTGTCGTAGTCGCATCCAACGCCAACAGCGCCTCCACATTCGGCAGTGTAACCACTGGAGTCAATGGTAATGCCAGCATATTCCATGGATTGAATAAAATCGTAGAATCCAGTATTGGTGTAGAACGAGTTGATGAAAGTTTTCTCGTTACAGCCCTTGTTTCGTTGTCCTTTAAGGGTACCGTAGAGACTAAATGCGACATTTGCTCCCATACTAGGAACGGACCCCTGGTACCAAGTGTCACTTCCATCTTCAGCTTGTTCGTTATCATTCTCATCATAGACATAACTCCAAACACAATTGTGATATACAATACGAAGTGAAGAAAACTGTGAAAGATCGTCAAAGATATTGTCGGCATCCTTCCAGTACATCTTTAGCTTCACATTAGGATTTCCGTGATTGGCATTGTAATAGGATGTATCTTTATCAGCATAAACCGATATAGCGGAAAGAAGGAGAGGGATGGCTCCTGAAACTCTCATGGTGACAAGCAGATTTGTTTAGAGTTTGCTTTGCAACGGACACGAGGCAGGAGACTGTGAAAGAGATGAAAAAGTGGATTGGCGATTTCACCAAGGACATCAGCGAAGCGTGCGAGTATGGCTTGCGACTATTCTCGCTAAGTCTTTTGTCGTATGCGACGACGGAACTATTTTGCACCTCATCTCAACGTACCGCCGGCCAACCGGCCAGCACGAACATGCATATTGATTTGAGTTGGGTGTTATGTATATTCGACACAGTCGACTTCAAAATTTGAACTTTGGATTTGTTTTATTTTGTCTGTCGATTTCGTACAGGAAGATGAAGGCAATGACAAAGTATAGCGGTTGTAGCTATTTTAAATCTCTACGCAGTTTTTGATTTGACGCAAAAGGGAACATGTACGTCCTTCTGAATTCGTAGCACTTTGTTTTCATCGACGTAGCTGCAGATACCTCCAGTTCAATTACCTATTTTGAAAACATTCCTTCCAAATGAGCTTGAATGCCTGGAACATGGGCGAGCCCAACGACCGCCACCACCTGCTTAACACTCGGGTCCTGGGTCAGTTCCCTCCCAATCGCTTGACCCATAATATAATCTCGTTCTTTCAAGAATGCTTGGGTAAACTCTGGAACTTCTTGTTCCAACTTGGCAAACAATCGGTCCCTCAAGTCTGAATCAGACTTGAGTCGTTCCATCATGGCAACTTGAAGCTCACCACTATCAACTTCCTTCCCATCAGCACCAAGTTCTTGCTGCACTTGTCGTTGCATTTCATCCATTTCTTGTTGGTTGGCTTCGGAAAATTTGCCCCACAATGCAAATGGATTGCCAGATTCTATGGCCAATTGGAACGTCCGTCGAATGGTTGTGACGGAGTCTCTGTCACCCAAAATTAGCTTGTGACAATTGGGACAAGCTTCAGCGGATCGAATGGCTGCAAGAAATTCTCCGCCACCCCCATCATTGTTCTTCATGTCCTTGCTGGCTGAGTTATACATGCCCGTCAAGAATTTTCGGGCAACTTGTGCAAATAGGTTGAGAGCAAGCCAATACCAGGGTTGGGGAGGTTGATTGGGCAATTCAATATCTTCCGATGTGACAACCTCTAATTGAATATCATCCACACTATTGATTCCAATACGAGAAAGTCGGGCAGGGTCCAGTTCCACCATGACAATGTTGGGTTGACATTTTTCAATCACTTGTTTGACTTGTTCGTTGGATTTCTTGGACAAGTGAGCGGTGCCGATCAACGTAACAGTCTGACCAGACGGAGTATTCCAGGTAGCGATGGTTCCATCATCAGCAGTGAGGAGATCTGATGCTGATGATGATAGGGACAGTCGAATGGCAGGTGATGGAGAGACCTGCAGATGAAGTCCTCTCTGACTGTGTTGTAACGATTGGAATCCTTGGGAACATGAAAGCAAGGAGAGAACCAAGGCTATTGAGCTCAGCATTCTTGATGCTTGAAGCATGTTATGATCAGAGTGCGGCCTTCGAAGTTTATGATAAAATAATAAACGCCGCATTATAAATTCGTCTCGGATTTCGGACGGGTGGGGGACGGACACTTGTGACGGTATATACACTCTTGGTATACGTTCCGTACCTACAGTAGTGTATTCAGGTATTACCATTACTGTAACATATTACAGAGCTTTGAACTCGACCATTTGTCCGAGGCATGCGGCACATTGCAGCACAAGCTGCGCCGATTCTACCAATATCACAGCTAGAAATGCATGAAGTTAATGATTGATTCTATATTTCGCAATGTGTTCTTCCATTGAGTGAAAAAGGTATCATCGAAATCTGTGTGATGGAGCGATGATTCTGGCTATAGTCGCTGAACCAACCAATGCTCTAGCGTATTCTGTGGGAATGCTCTTGACTGTTTATCTTCTTTTCGCGTGCATCGTTGCTGTTGGGTTTTGAGCTCTTGTATGGCAGTATTGCAAGGGCCTATCGTGCAACAGTATTCTCTAATGCTGCTGATAGTCTTTTGCTGAAGAAAATTAATGAGAATCGCAGAACTCAATACTTTTTGTCTCCGCGTTGAGCTGACTGAATGATCTCCCATCCTTCCGATCCAAGTCCATTGCCCTTCGCATTTGCAACTCGCTCTGTGATAGTACCTCCAAGGTTGATCAAAGATGGCAAGACCTGCAAAAATGAAGAGATGCATTGGCACATGAGGTAAACGCAATTTGACATGATAATTCAATGGCGACCAGCATCTCGGACTTACTGCAGCAGTCTTTTCACCCGCCAGCAATACAACATCGAGTAATCGTAGAGCAAACATGGTAGCTGGATTAATTTCCTCTTCTTCTCCATCATCCTCTTCTTCTCCAATCTCTTTCGCGGCCTTCGCTTGTCCCATGGCAACGTCAAAGTCATCATCGGATACAATTTCGGCTGCCACACGTCTCATGGAATCCGCGGCCTCTTGGGCAGCAGCCACTACATTTTGGGTGTAGCTGAACTCGTTGTCAACAATTGTAGTCTGTGCTGGTCTAACCATGGTCGGAATGGCATCCAAGATTTCGACGTCGTCCACGAAACGAGAGCTCTTGCCCACAACTGAAGGCGGATTGGATGAAACTTTAATGTCATCAACATTTTTGGATTCTTTTTGTCGCTGCCACGGCATTCGAAATCCACCAGTTTTGGGGGGCTCTCCGATTTCGACAACCTGACCATCCTCTGTTCCGTCTTCTACATACCATGGCTTTGTTTCTTGTACCACTTCGTCTTGATCCTCAACATACCACGGCGCTGCTCTTGTCACAGCGGGTTCCGTTGCCGAATTCATGGCCGTTTCAATATCTTGTGTCAGCTTTTGCTCTTCTTCCAAAGTTTCCAGCCTGGCAAGGCAGTCGTCCAGTCGCAGTATCAATGGTATTTCCCCATTTTGCACTCCTCCGTATACCAATGTCTGCTTGAAATACTCGGCAATAATGGAAGATCCTGCTTGGAGAGAAGTATCACAAACTTCCGAAATGGAAGGTAACACAAGTTGCAATGTAGATATCATGGCTCGTTCATCTTCGTTACTCATGGGCTGCTGCAAGAGCGCTTGTGCCTGTACCATGGCAACCACCACTGATTCCAACTCTGCATCGGGAAAGGATGTGAATTCCTGGTCCACAGTGTCGTCAACATTTTGCAATACCAAGTCTGGATTGAGCCAAGTATCTTGAGGGCTGGAAATATAGTTCGCCAGAAGATCCAAAACGCGTTCCATTTCCGTTTCTAATTCATACATTAACTCAAGACGTTCCAAAGTGGGCGGTGCAATTAACTGTGCTTCTGACATGGTTGGAACAGCATCTGCCTGCAAGGCAACCGATTCATCCACCCTTGGAACACCAGGGGCTGTATCGGGCAAAAGTGGAGCTGTCCTTTCTTTTCGGGAGGCTTCTAGAGCTTTCACGGCGATACTCTTGGCTCCTCCCAAAATTCGTTTGGCACCAGCTGATAGTTGGCGACTGGTGGCAGCCGTTTGTGCTCGAATGACCTTGGTCTTGTATCCTGGTTCATTCGTTTCGGCTTGAACTTCGCGTCGAATTTGATAGGCTTTATCAGCCACCTCATTAGCCAGTCGAGTTGACGATTGAATGACATTTTCCTTCTCCCGTTTTAAAGTCGTTTCCTGTTTACGTTTGTAAGCCTTGTCGAATCGGTCCTTATCGTTGACGGAGTACTTTGAAGTAGCTGCCGCACTGTTCAGGTTGCGAGAAAAGGTAGTCTTGGGCTTGACCACGTCATTGAAATCAGCCTCGGTACCAGCTTCTACTGGCACTGCAGGTTGCGTGCTGACGCCTCTGAAAATATCCTTTAGCTGTCGTCCCACATTTCGAATTTCGTCCAAAGGTGTCGACATTTCTTGTCGCAACTTTTCAGCTTCTGTCATTTCTTGTGCGGCGGTAACATTGGACAACAAAAATTGTTTCTTTGGGTTCCATTTGCTCGACGAGGTTGCTGGAAGGGCTCGTGAGACGTCATTTATGGCACGCTCAAACGCAAAAATACCAAGGCTTGCAATCAGTTTGCCATCTCGTTCGATTCTGTTGGCGACATAAATCTTGGCAGTTTCGACGCTATCTTGCAGTTTTCGTTTGAAGGCCTTCCACAGTTTGGTCGAGCCCAACTTTTGCAAGGCTTCGGATTTGAATTCCGAGTCTTCCACATTTTCGCCTTGAGAAGCTTGTTCATCCGTATTGACGCGTTCCTTTGCCTTGATTCCGCGATCCAACAAATCTTTCATATTCTTCTCATCTTGTAAATTTAGCTTTTCGGAGCCTCGCAACATTTCTTGCAAAACACGGGCATCCAAATCTGACAATACGGCTTCGTCGTCAGTTTTCTTTTGTGCATACAAGGTTGACTGAGATTTTCTGGATATGAAGATGATTCGCCTTGACATCTCTGAAGATAGTGGTGCTGAGTTCTTGTATACAGAAGATTCTAGCCCTCCTTGCTTGGAATCTGAAAATGTCGAGAACGTAAAGGCCTGGCAATTGTGGTTGACATCTGACATCGTTATTATTATCAGCAACAAAGCACATGAGAATATTGGACACAGGGAAAACGCCTTCATTTTCAATTTCTTTAATAATCCTTTTCTTTTGCACTTCCAAAGACCAACTTGATTCTTTCAGTCTAATATGTGCAAAGTGTAGCTTGAACGGCAGGTGACACGAGGCCGAAGAGCGACAATTTGTTGTTGACTACACGGTTCCTGTTTTCAAAGCGTTTATTGAAACACTTGTGACAACATCAAAATATCAATCATCAGTCTGCACGACGTCCGGAAGATTAACTTCAATTGAATCCTGACGTATGTAGACTCGTACTGTGACAATTCAATGCTACGACTATGAATTGTTTTCGCATTGGTTTTCACAAGATACACTAAATGGTTATTTTATAAAATATGGTAGCAACATCCAATCGTGAACCCAGTCAGATCTTGCCGATACAGGAAACCTATCAACATAATAGGTCCCTTCTAATCCAATAACTCCAAAAGTATCTTGAACAATCAATCATAAGAGAACATAAAATCAAACCCAAGTGGACTGCAACGCCTTGTATTTAGGCGGAATCCTCTTGAACCTCGGGCTCAGCAGCAGGCTCTTCCTTTTCAACAGCTGGTGTTTCCTTGGTGGGTTCTTCGGACTTCTTTCCGCGCATACCATCAAAGACCTTGCTAATTTCAGCACTAGATTCGATGAGTGGCAAGACAGCAATGACAATGGCAGCTCCGAATCCCCAAGCAATGGCAATGAGGACCCAGAAGGCAAAGTACTCCTTGGTGAACTTTCCAGCAGGGATAGAGAGAAGAGGCCAGATGACGATCAAGACCAAAGTCAAGACGTATCCACGGCGGGCGATCCAGGTCTCGGCTTCTTGAAGCATCTCAATATCTTGGTCTTCCGCTTCCAAACCACGGGTATCCTCTTCGACGAGGGTGATCTTCTCGTCAAGAGTGGTAAAGTCAAATTCTTGTGGGTCAATGACGATGGAATAGACAACGTGGATGAAGGCAGAAGAGAGGATAGCGACCAAGTTTCCGCAAAGCATGGCTTCGTTGGTTCCAAGAGTATCGATGGTGATCTCTCCTTCGCGGACTTGGGCGGTCACCAACCATGCAATGACAGCAAGGATCAATCCAGACCAGGCAGCAATGACAGCTCCGGTTCCGGAGGCCTTGGACCACTTCATCAACATCCACAAAGGTGCGACGGCAGATCCAATAATGATACCCATAAAGAGGTAGACCCATCCGAGGGAAAGTCCGATCTCGAAAAGTGCAATGGAAAGAGCCCCCATCAACAATCCGAATCCAACAATGACATAACGGGAAACCTTCAAGATTTGCTCTCCGGTGGCTTCGGGGTTGATGTATTCACGGTAGATATCGTAAGCAACCAAAGAAGAGACGGCAATAGACTCGGCAGATCCAGTGGACACAATGGCCATGAAAAGCATGATCAAAATGAGAACGGATCCGGCATCTCCCATCAAGTGCGTTGCGACAGCAGGGGGGACAAGACCATTTCCGGCTTCGACATCAGTGATGGGAAGCAACAAGGCGGTGGAAGCAAGGCCGAGAGAAGTGGCAAGTGTGAAAGGAATGGCGAACCAGCAGATTCTGCAGAACAAAAGAGACAATTTAATTTGTGAGGGACAATTTATTAATGTCAGCTGCACAATCACGTTATGTGGAACTTACCCTCCAAGGACGTATCCACGAGCGGCAGAGGCTGGCTTGGCAGCAATGGCGGATTGCCAGTAGGATTGATCGACAAAGACGGTTCCAAAGTTACCGACGATGTTGATGATTCCAAACATGAGACCTCCAGAAGAGATCATGGTTAAATAAGAACCATCTCTGTTTCCGTCAACAGGTCCGCATGCAAACTTGCCAGCTTCGTATCCAGCGTAGATATCTGCACACTCTTCAGGACTGTAAGTGACAGTCTTGTCCAAAAAGTCGTAGATGGCATCAGAAGAGTAAGTCTTGATGTAAACAATGAAGACCATTGCAATCAAGACACCAAAGATGATACAAGTATGGATGTAAGAGGCCAAGAAAGTAGCTTGAAGACCACCAGAGGCAGTGTACAAGATGACACCCCAGGGAATCAAGAAAGAAGCCCATCGGTAGTCAACACCAGTTAAAGCTTCGACGGTGGCGGCTCCACCGAGCAAAAGCATACTGGTCACAATCAAGTTGGCGCAGAAGCAGAAGAACAAAAAGGTCTTGTGGGCAGTGCGTCCCCAACGAGCGTTGACAATCTCACAGACAGTGTGGGCAGAAGGAGCGACTCTCTTGAGGGAAATGGCAAGGACACCAAACAAGATGACTTGGATGGTGGCACCAGAGGCATACCAGAAGGGTCCAGAGACACCGTATTGCCATGCGACATTGGAAGATTGCTGTGAACGACGTCGGAAGAAACGGTTAGTGCGACGCTTTCGAAAATCTTTTGTCATAAAAGCATTTCTAGACTTACCAAAAGAGTGGCGGCCCAAGTCCATTGAGAGACAATGACAGAGGCAGTTAGTCCAGTCTTGATGGAACGTCCAGCAGTGTTAAAGTGCTCAGAAGTGACAGCTCCTTGGCCTCCGTACTTTTGGCCAATGAAGACAATGATGGTGGTGATGACACTGAAAAGTGCACCGAATCCAACAACGACGGCCCATCCAACTCCCTCAGGAAGTGGGGCGTCACCTCCGAAGAAAGAGTCAGAGCCCTGGTATTTCAGGAATGGTGGAGCGGAGTCGGTAAAGGTGACAGACATGGTAAGGTAAGTGTTCTGAAAATCAGTAAAATTCACAACAACCAAATTTTGTGTGCAGTTTGTAAGATTTGGTGGTGAGGAAATTCTGATTGCAAGCCGACAGAGAATCCTGTATACGCAGTAGGCAATGTACGTGGTGATTCTTGATTTCGAGAAATATAGCTTTTTCTACTCCATCAAACAAAACTTCCGACGATATCTTGTACGTGATGAGGCTTCTGAAGTCAAAATTCTGAATATTCAAACGGAAGTTGGGGATTCACTATTCCGTTGGATGTCCGAAGATATTTCAAATTTCATGCTTTTACTTATATACACGCTCTTTTTTCTAAAACGGATATATTGGTGCTTAAGGGGCATCTTCTGACACTGGCATTGGGGAGCGTGAAATGTCACGCCAGAATTGACCGCTGGCCGAAGATCTTCCAGAAATCTTTGCGAAGGAAGATTGTTGACGGAGAACTGGACCACAAAGGGAGGCTTTCTGGTCCAACGATCTTTGGACCTTCCAGGTGTGTACCAGGTACCGGTAAACTTCCAGTCACTCCTGGGAAACAAATTAAGATCTATTGAAGGATACGGTATCTTCCGACTGACAACTTGAAGCAATGATGTGATGAGTCAGTCTTGACAATTCAATTCAGAGTCAAGTTGCTGAGGTCTAAAGACATGATAGGATTATTGTGACAACGAATTCATTGCTTTAGCAATATTTTGACAGGGAACCAAGATTGATAAGTGGGCGGGGCTCTTCATGGAATCATCAATATTCAGGGAATCATCAAAAGCCTACAGCATTTGCACATGACAAAAACAACTGCATTTTCTAGTTGACGACGATGATATACTGCATTAGGCGACGAAGTGTTCCCTTGAACAGGTCATCGTCATCTGAGATTTATGCTTCATTTGATGCTTCATTTGATGCTTCATTTGATGCTGGGGCTGACCTCGATCGAGTGAGGCCAATTCTTTCGTCACTCGGACGGGGTACGGGAATCAATTGATTTATCCTCAGGGGTGCTCC